GCCTGCCCTTTTCCCTCCCCTGTGTGTCCCCTTCTCCCCTGCCCCCTACTGGCCACCCCAAGGGCTCGCTCACAACCATCTCTAGCTCGGGGAGGCCGCAAACCTCCCCCAAGCCCACCCTTGCTTACTCCTGCAAACCAGCCCTTGGAGTCCCTTCCCACCCTGACTGGATGACCTCCTTCCTCAGTCCTCCCCATCCCAACTCAGGAGCCCCCCTTTCCAGCCTTCCCCTCAAGGAGCCCCAGGCCTCACAGTCTTGGCCGGCCCCAGGAGGACCAGGCCATGTGTGATTCGTCCTTTCAAACAGCCGCGCTTCCGGCAGGGCTGAGAGCCAGGAGGCCCCACGAGGCAGCACAGGCCCAGCCACGTGAGGCCCCCCCTCCCCTCCCACCGCCCCAGGCCCCGCTGACTCAGAGCCTGGCAGCTGCTCCACCACCCCCTCCCAGCGGTGTGTGCCACTGTGGGCTGGGTGGGGCAAAGCAACCCTAGGCACTGCTTGGCACCCACACAAAGTCCTCTGTGGGCTGGGTGGGAATGCTTCTTACCATCTGTCCCATAACCAACTGTCTTCTTGGAACAATAGACTGAATAACTTCACATCATCTGACATGCTCCCAAGGTCTGATTTTCAAGCAACAGCTCTGTCATTACTCAACTTCCCTCTCCTGATTGTTTCCAGATTTCACATGACCATGGCTCCCCTTGTCTAAACATCCTTCTTTTCCACACCACTGACAGTTTTACTGCCTCTGGAAAGTAGGGTGCCTGTGTGTTCAATTCCAGGGATAAAGACTTTAGAAATCATGAGTTTTCTAGATGGTTGTGAGCTGTTGTCAGTGGATGAGCTCAAGCCAGTGACAGCCACTGAACTCGAAAGAATCACTTAAAGACTCTGACTTGAGAAAAAGTTAATTCAGAATTTCAAGGTAAGAGTCAGGACATGGGCTGGATCTGTGATGCTCAAACCCATTTATGCCGTATCACAGCCCAGAGGGCAGCATTTGACAGTGATGGGAATTCTTTTCTGTAGTCAGCAACGAGATTTTTCAGGTTAAGAGAGAGAAATTCGAGTTTACCAATTTTGATGATAATATGGGGCCATAGAACTGTCAGACCCTGCTGGTGGGACAGTTGTTCTAGAGTACCAGGTGGAGAACCCTAAAGCTGGATGGGGTGATTCCACGCTGGGGAGATTCCCAGTATGATTCACTGGACTCCCATGTAACCTATGGAGGGTAAGATGACCGTGTCCTATGTCTTTATCTTGGTGTCAAAACTCACAGACTTGGGGCCTCCCTGGTGGCACAAGGGCTTAAGACGCAGCACTATGAAGCAATCTGCAGCCTCTGCAGCATGAGTTCCATCCCCAGCCAGGGAGGTGACCCACCTGGCACAGCAGACCTCTCCTGCCTTGCCCGCTGCTCCCCTCAGCAGTGTATTTCAGTACATCTGCCTGTTCTGTTCCCCACTCTGTCTCTGGTGAATCTTCTCACTCCCCACATCTCTGGTCTGCACCCCAGCTCTTGTATGCATAAATAAATAAATCTTTTTAAAAAACTCATAGACTTGAATACTCAAAAGAGTGAGTTTTACTGCCTATAAATTATACCTTAATTAAAAAAAGAATAAACCGGAAGAAAAAAAAGAGTAGTATTTCCTCTTAGGAATATATCCTATAATGGAATACTGTACGCAGGAGAGGACAGAAATAAATTGCTAAATGAAACATGGGCTATCTCTAAATCTTATGCTGAGTGGGGCCTCCCTGGTGGCGCAAGGGGTTAAGCACCTCACTATGAAGCTGTCCGCAGCCTCTGCAGCACCGAGTTTGGTCCCCGGGCAGGCCAGAGAGCTGACCCACATGGCACAGCAGACCTCTCCTGGCTCTCCCGCTGCTCCCCTCAGCAGTGTATTTCAGTCAGTCTGCCTGTTCTGCTCCCCACTCTGTTCCTGGTGAGTCCTCTCACCCCTTCATACCTTTGGCCTGTACCCCAGCTCTTGCATGCATACATAAATAAATCTTCAAAAAATATAAATATTATGCTGAGTGAGAGAAGCCAGACGCCAAGGAGATAAATTGATTTCATGTGTATGAAGCTCCAGAACAGACAAAACTAATCTGCCTCGACTGAGGTCAGACTAATGGTGAGCCCTGGAGTGTGGGTTTGTTGAGGGAACGTGAAATAACCTCCTGAGGTGCCCTGAATCTTGAGCGATGTGATGGTTCCTCACGTCTGTGCCCTCTGCTTAAGATTTATGTCCTTGTTGAAATGTTGATTATTCCTGAAATTAAAAAGAAAATGCTATTTTTAAAAAGATTTTCTTTATTTTTTTATATTTTTTTTAATTTTTAAAGATTTATTTATTTATTTGATTATTTATACAAGCACTGGGTACAGTCAGAAGTGCGGGAGGGTGAGAGAATTCACCAGAGCCAGAGCGGGGAGCAGAGCAGGCAGAAGGATGAAGTACACTGCTGAGGGGAGCAGCGGGTGGCAGGAGAGGTCTGCACGCCATGTGGGACCCTCCTCTGGTGGCAGGGGAGCAGCCGGGGATTGAACCGGCGCTGCAGAGGCCGCTGGCAGCTTCACAACCCAGCGCTCAACCGCTGCGCCACCGGGGAGGCCCAGATTTTCTTTATTTTTGTGTAGAACTGGGGTGCAGGCCAGAGGTGCAGGATGGGAGGTGAGAGGACCCACCAGAGACAGAGTGGGGATCAGAGACTCACTGAAATACGCTGCCACAGGCAGCAGCAGGGGAGACCGGAGAGGTCTGCTGCGCCATGTGTGGGTCAGTTCCCGGGCCGGGGATCAAACTCAGGCCATTGAGGTGGGCCACCGTGGTGATGGTGCTGACAATCAACTCAGGCCACCAGGGAGGCCTGAAAATGCTATTTTTTAGATTGTCATCGCAAGTTGCCTGGTAAGCACTATGGATGATGCCCAGTGGGTGCAGGTGCTTCCCCCAACACCCCTCAGTGCCCGCTGACTTGACCAGCCTGGCACAGGCCACTCCCTACCCTAGGAAACCCACACAGCTTGGTAACCACGTGCACTGGCCCCACATGCTGCTTCCAGGCTGGAATTCCTGCCCTGCCCGCCCTGCCTTAACAAAACAACCTTTGAAACTGGCTGGCAGCCCAGGATTTTAAACCACTTCCTTGCCTGAGCCACTCCCCGTTATAAGCATTCAGGAAGAAAGTTATAACTTCTCTTGCTGGGGGTGAGGGGGGGCACCTGTCTCATCCCCTAACATCCCAGGGTCAGAGGGGGTCCTGGTCTGTGTTGGGGCCATGACTCCCACACCTCCCTAGGTTAGATGTCAACGTTCAGGAAGTGCTTTGTCTCCCGGCTTGACCAAGAACCCCCCACACTCCCCAACCTCCATCCCTGCCTTCCTGAAAAATGAGCTTTATCCCAACCTTAGGAAACAATATCAGGGAAAAAGAAAACATGGGGCAACTGAGCACCCCTGATTTCATATGTAACTCTGGAGAGGGTTATGAGGGGGACAGATGTGGCTGTGGTGTCAGCACCTGGTGCAGCCTGGGCTTTGTCAGACACTGGGCACCATTGCTCCCTCCTCCCCACGTGGCCTGCTCCAGATTGACAGCGTGGATGAGGACACTCAGCCAGCCTAGCTCCACCCCTGCTGCTCAGGGACCAAGGCAGGAGGTGAGGAGGGGAGAGCCCTAGGCTGCTGGAATGCCTGCTGTTTGTGTCTGCTGTGTGACCTGGGGCAAGTGAGTGCCCTCTCTGAGTTTCCCGTTGCCTTTCAGCTCTGTAAAACCTGGCAGGTTCTGAGACCACCGGAACAGGCAAGTCGTAGCATGACAATGCCCAGGGCTTCTCCCCCTCCTGTCCCTCACCCCCAGCCTTCATTTCTGCCCCCCCTCACAGCTGTTTTTCTCTTTCTGGGGCTGTCCCTTTATTCAAGTAAATGTCAGCCTTAGTGTCAGCTGCCTGCTCAGTAGAAGGGGCCTCTGGAGCTTCCCGGGCTCCTTTCTCTGAGCAGAGGCTCCCAGACCCCCACAGTCACACCCCAACATCCCTCACCATTGTGCCCTTCCAGGGTGCTCTGGACAGAAGTGAAGACCATGCCTTTGGGCATAAGAAACAGGGTAAGTGTCCTTTAGGCTCAGCCTGCAGCCCAGAGTCCTCTCTTGCTGCTCTGTAGGAAACCACCTCCATTTCCCATCTACTAACTGCAAAGTGGAGTGAATAATCACAGCACCACCCACTCGAGAAGGTAGATGACCTTTGACAGATGGCAGTAATGACACCCGACACGGAACGTGTGCAGGGCGACAGGCGGCACATCGTCTGTACGCGGCAAAGTCCTACGACCAGCTGACTCACTGCAGGGGTGGCTGGCAGCCATAGTGGTTTCCAGGGGACTTTGCTGAGCCCCCCAGGTTGGGACCAATCTCCCAGGCTGGCCCTCTCCCACTCTTTTGATCGGCGTGCCCTAAGTGGAAGCTCTGCTGGGGTACTGAGAATGCCAACTCTGAGAGGGCAGGAAGGCTTCCGGGGGGAGGTGACATTTGAAGTTAAGTCTTGAGGAGTAACAGAGGGGGCGTGTTCCTGAGGCTGGCACAGCAAGAGGTGCGAAGGCACGGTCGGGAATCCGCAGAGCAAAGCACGGGGGATGTGAGTCAGAGAGAGAAGGGTGAGGTGGGAGAGACCGGTTCCCAAAGGGCCATGCCAGGACTCTCAACTTTATCCTAGGGCAATGGGGAGCCATGGTACTTCTTGAGGAGCGGAAGGGGAGGGTCTCTCTTGCTCCTGAGGAAAGGTCCGCCCAGAGACACCCAAGTACCCGGATAAAGGGGGAGCAAGAGCCCAGATCCAGGCTTGGCAGGTTCATCAAGCAAGAGCTGTAGGCTTCAGGGGAGGGAAGGTAGGGGAAAGCAGGAGGCTGCCTCCCCAGGAGGCTTCCAGCCCCAATCCCCCCACCGACCTCCCCGCATCCGATCCCACCCTAGGGGTCGGCCATGGTCTGTCTGATCAAGGGCCCCACAGATGCCATGTTGGCCACTCAGCTTGCTCAGTGCTTTATTGAACCCAGGCCCCAACAGAAGACTCAACAGGGCCTTGGGGCACAGCCTCCCCACATTCTGAGATTCAGAATCCATGGGAGACTCTGTCCTTGATTTAGCGGGTTTTCGTGACATTTCCTCTTGAATATTTTCAAACCTCAAAGTGTAAAGATTTTGTCCACACAGACAGACACATACTCCTGCTGCAGGCTGTCATGTTCACTGAGCTGATCCCACTCAGAGGTTTGTGTGTGTAAGGCCTTTGCACCCACCGCTGTCCACGCATCCATCCATGCATCCATCCATCCGTCCAAGTTCTGACCACGACAAGACAGCAGCAAAAGTTTTGACCTGTCAGGCCCCTGGGTTCATGGGAGTGGGGGCAGGGCTTCCAGTGGGCACCCTTGGCGCAGATCCCCATCCACCGTGGCCCAGGATTACATCCTTTTCTGAGACAACAGAAGCCGGGGTCAAGCAGGTAATTAACATTTGAGTCCCTAAGAGAGGAGCCTCAACCGCAGCAAAGTCTGACAAACAAATGAAGCCTGCAGTAACACTGAAACAGGGGAGAGTAAGAGCTTATGTTTGTGCTGAAAGTGTTCACGTGGAAGACAGGAGAGAAGGAAAGAAAGGAAGAGGCAGACACACGCAGGCGAGCCGCAGAGGGCCGGCCCCGCTGACCCCCGGGGCAGGGAGGAGAGAAGCTCTGGCCCATCCTGGGGGACGGTGGTTCTCCCCCTGCCTCACATGTGCAAAGTCCTAAGAGAAAAGGGGGCTTTTCTGCACATCGGAAGACAGAGGGTTAACTCAAACAAGGAAGAAAAAAAAGCGAAAAGGCTTCTGCCAGTACAAAATACTTCCTTTGAACTGGACTTAATCCAATTCACTAAGTCAACAGGCTGGGCTCTTCCAGGGGCAGGGACAGGGGTCGGGGCACCAGGATGTGGCGTGTGATGGATGGGAGTGAGAAGGGGGTGGAGGCCAGGGGCACACGGAGGGGACACCCACTCCCCTGGATGGTGCCTGGGGCCTCCAGCAGACGCGGCGGGCCGCCAGGCAGCTGGTGCCCTGGCCTGCAGAGGCAAGGAAGACAGGCAGCACCACAGCGGCCCTCACTGGTCCTGCAGCCGGCTGCAGAGCTCCCGCCGGCTCCGCTCTCCTGCCCAGCTGCGAGTCTTGAGGCGGAAGGTCCTGAGTTCCTCCCTGAAGGCCTCGTGGTTCATGGGCCGGTAGTCCTGGGGCTCGCAGAAGGTCTAGCACAGGACAGGAGGGGCCAATCAATACGGGAGAGAATTGGAAACATCCGGGGGGACCCAGCTCTCCCATCACCCTCTCTTGGGGCCGCCCCCGCCCCAGTCTTCTCCCTGCGTCCCCCCAATACCGGGTGCTGTGGGAAGAATTCCTTGTAGCCGCCCTTGAGGATGTACATCTCAGGATAGTAGAGGCTGGGGTAGTCATTGGCTGCCCGGTCCCGCTCCCGGATGAAACGGCACCTGGGACCAGCAGGGGTGGAGGATCAGAGTGTGCGGTGCCCACGCAGGGCCCTGGGGAAGCACGGGAGGCCTTCTAGTGCTGGATGGACAGCCCAGGGCCACTTTCAGATCACTTTCAGTTTTGCTATAGGGTACGGAAGAAGTTGGAGAGATGAAAGGAAGGAAGCAAATCAAGGGCTTGTTTCTAGTTGCACAACTTTTATAAGAGGTGTATGGCCGGAACTAGAAAAGGGGAAGCAGAAAGAGATGGACGAAACTCAAGACATACTTCCAGGAGGTCTCGACCAGACCTGATGAGGATGAGAGGTAGGGAGAGAGGATAGGACAGAGGGGCCTGGTCCCGCGCGCGCCTTAGTGGAGGTAGACGCCATGTGCGGGAAGCCCGGGGGAGGGGGCCTGGTGAGGGCAGCGGGGAGCAGGCCTTGCAAGGAGTGTCTGGGGAGATCCCAGCACACATGCGAGCCTGGCTGGAGAGTCATCAGCACTCACACTGACCAGGGGGTGTCCTAAAGGGGGGGCCTAAGGGCACCCAGCACTGAAGCACCATGTCACAGAGGTCTAGGGTTTTAAGCACATGGCTAGAGACTTGGAACCAGACTTTGCGGCAGAGGTGACAAGGACAGAGAGAGACACTCACCAATGGGAAGGAGAGCGAGAAGGAGATGAAGGGTCGTGTCATGAGCAGGGGAGGGGGGTGAGGTCTACTGTCAGATGAGACCGGAGGACCCGGGCTGGGTTTGGCCTCGGCTGCAGCCCCTGATAACCTGAGCAGGGACGTCAGGAGCAGACACTCACATGCGGGGCCCACGCTCTGATGAGAATTCACAGTGGAAGATGAGGATGATTCTCTTGTCCAGGTTACAGGGTGTGATGGGGCTCTGCAGCAAGAAGTTCTCGGCATCTCGCTCCAGGGGCAGGTTCACAGCAGTCTGCCAGAGAGGCCGGAGATCAGCCACAGCCCTGCCACTGGGTGGCAGACCCCTCTCCCACACAGTGCCTGTCTTTCAACTGTGTGACCCTACTTCTTACTGGCAAGATCACTCTCCATGAGAGGTTTCACCCCCTGTCCACCCCTTCACCCTCCCAGCAGAGGATGCATAGGGCTGCGTGAGCCTTCAGGGCTCCCCCATCACCCTCCTCACCTTGATATGGCCACCTTCGTACTCATAGGGGTACCTGCAGTCCACAATCACAAACTTCTCCACGATGTTGCTGAACTTGCCGGTCAGAAGGGCCACCATCTGAAGGAGGCCATGGAGGTAGGACCGAGTAGGTCAGCCCAGCAGGCAGGGGCTGGCCCCGAGCCCCTCATTGACCCAGCACTCCAAGCCCCTCCCCAGGGAAGGTTAACAGTCCCAAATGCACCCCGAGGACCGCTCATCCCTGCATACCGTTTCTGGAGAGATGTACTTGAGGTCTTGGTGCTTCCCATCCACAGTCTGCAGGAGGAAAGCCTGGGGGACGTGGAGGGAGGAGAAAGTGAGAAGGTCACATCTGCTTTGACCTTTAATTCAGCTCTGATTCCCATAGCAACGAGAGGTGCCTCCTGGGTCTGATACCCAGGAAACAACCTCTCAAGGGGAAATGAAGAGGTGGAGCATGAAGGTGAAAGCCCCAGTGCTCCCCACGTCCTGCCTCCACCCTCTGCCAAGCCCAAGGAGGCTCCCACCTGGACACTAGTCTGGAAATGTTTCAAGGCTGAGACCCAAGGTTGATGTCTGGGACAGATTTAAGACAAGAGACCAAGGAAAGCCAGGAGTTCAGGTGACAATGAAGGACAGTAAGATGCAGAAGAAAAAGCAAAGGGGCTGGAGGAGAGAGGGAGGCCCACGAGCAGCTGCCGGGCCAGTGGGCCAGTGGGTGAGGGAGGGGTACGCCTCTGGCACCTTGGAGTAATCTCCGATCAGCTCACGGTGGTCACTGTCCAGGAGGTTCTCGATCTCATCGTGACACAGGGACTTGGAGCGGAGGACTCGGGCTTTCTGGGGGGCCAGGAAGGCAATGGCTAGGGTGAGGCAGGAGGCTGCCCCTCCGTGCTGCGTCTAGCTGGTAGCCCTTTCCCTGCACACACTCTCTGCTACAAACATGGCCACGTAGGGCTATGGGTGGACTCAAAGGGTGGCAGCCTGCCCACCCCAGAGAGGGCACTCACAGGTTCTTCAGGCTCCTCCTCCTCCTCTGGAGGGGTCACGCTCCTCCTCCGCTTGTTCTGTATAGGCACATCCCTGTCCTGGGGCCGCTCCAGCCGCTTGAGGATGGGACGGATCACCCTGCAGGGCATGGACGGAGAGCGGAAGAGCCGCCGGCACTTGCTGAACATGATGAGATCCTGGCAGGGACAGCAGATTGGGGGTCAGAGTGCCCAGCCCGTGCACCCTCCGGTCCCCCATCCCACCAAAGGGTGAGCCCAAGCTCCAAGTTATGCCAGGGCTGCCACAGAGGCCCACCTGCTCCTCTTCCTTTTCCGTGGTCTTGACCAGGGGGGCGCTAATAAGACTCTCTATGCCTGGAGGGATCATGTCGTCATCCTGAGGCCAAAACAGCAAGGATACCGTCACACTCACAGGCCTGAGGCTGAGTCCTGCAGTGTGGCCTGCGCTGTCCCCCCAGCAAACCCCGGGGTGGCAGCCCTTCTTCTCACCCTACCTGCACCTTCACACAGGGCGGCCCCCAGAACCAAAAGTTGCAGAGCCCCACTGGTTGCAGGGGCTGGCACAGAACCGGGAGAAGCATGGCCATGCTGGAGGCCCAGGCTCTCCTCCGCCCTGCGCATCCTCCCCTCACCAGGACCAACCACCCGCTCCGCTCTGATTGGCCGGAGGTCGGTGTGCGACAGTCACCTCCAGTTCTTCTTCTGACATTGGAATGAGGTCATAGTCTTGCTGCAGGAGCTCAGAGCTTTCCACCTTAGGGAGATTCCAGGGAGGGAGGGCAGGGGCCTCATGGAGCGAGGCTGTTTACCTTTAAGTCACTCTCCAGGATGTCCACGAATCCATCATCTTCCTCAGTGGCACCTTCAGCGGCGGTCAAGGAGAAGGGGCTTTGGGCCATGGGACTCAGCTGTTGTACCTCCATCTTCCGCTCGGGGGTGACACACTGTGTGGGTGACAAAGTACAGGCTACTCAGGGGTGGGTACCCAAGGCAGGCCCCACCCATTTTTCTAAGAAGTTTCCTACCACCTCAGGACTCAGAATCACTCTCCCCTTTCCCAGGCTGCCTCAAGGGCACGTGCCCACCCTGCATGCAACTGCCCCACACAGCTCAGCCCTCATCTATACCATCAGGTCAGGGGCCGAGCTTGGCCTCTGGGCAAAGGCTTCTCTGCGGCTAGCCCACTCTGCCAGAGCATGGTCGTTGTTGGGATGTGTGGGCTTCCAAGGCATCTTGAAGACAAGTCCATCCTGTAGGCAAATCAGGGATGGGGGGTTGTCATCAAAGGCCACCAGAGAAGCCTCCTGCCCAACCCCCACCTCTCCCATTGAGGCCTTCTAGAAACGCACATTCTCTTTGTCCTCCCCATAGCTGTGGGCAGCTCGGCCACATGCCTCCCTCTTCCTCCAGCTGTCTCGTGCTTGGGAGTTGGTGATGTTCCGTAACACGGGACTGTGGCCAAGAAGCCTCACCTGGAGAGACATGTAGGGCAGCAGGTGCTGAAGGCTGTCTTCTTGTGGCCCCAGCCCAGGCCCTACCCCCTCTACCCCTCCTCCACTTCCCCAGCTGGTCCTTCTACCTGCCAATCCCCCCACCCCACCCCCGCCCCGACAGTCAGACTAGGGACACATGACTCCTTTCAGTTCACCCTCTGGGAGGCAACCCTGATTGCCCCCAACCCTCCCCAAGGCTGGGGTTTGTGGCTGAGCCTCCAGTTAGGCCACAGCAGGCACCTACCGGCAAGGACTGGAAGCGTCGGAAGGCAAACCGCTCACTGTAGAAGGAAACAGGGACAGGTCAGGACTGGAGAGTCGGGGCGGGGACTGAGAACATGCAGGACGGCCCTCTACCACAGAACCCTGTGCACCCCTATGGGAGGGCATGGGAGATTACCCTCCATTTGTATCCCCCAACACCCGCATCCACCCCCATAAGGAAGGTTGGAGACTTACTTTCGAATAACTCGGCTGGCTGCCTGGATTGCCTGTTCAAACCTAGGAGGCAGAAAGATCCCATGCAACCCAGCTTCATCCCATAGCCCATCCCGCACCCCCAGTACCGGGGCCCCTGTCCACAGGCCCAGGGGCCATGACTCAGGCCTTGGAAAGGGGAAGTAGGAAGAACACTATCAGGGAATCCAGGTTCTGGGGAGGGGGAAGATGAGAGCAGACCAGTCTGAATGGAAGAGGGCCCAGAGAATGGCAGCAGAGACAGCTGGGGCAGGTCACAGGGTGGCTCAGGCATTACCAAGGCAACAGTCTCACCAGCCTGCCCACAGGCCTTCCACCTGTATGCAAATCACCTCAGGGAGGCCATATGGCCGCCAGGAAAGGCATCCATCCATCCCACCATAACAGTCCACGCCCAACAATATGGGTGTCTGCAGGGCCTGGATGCCAGTAAGGCTGGGCTTCCCTGTTGTGTGGCTATCCTGGCCCCCCTCAGGCCTGACACCCCAGGGTCAGCCCTAGTCTACCAAGCCAGACCCCCTAGTGGCAAATGTGCGGGGTCACATCCTCTCCTCCCTCCTAAGGAATTTTCTAGGACCCAGCCTCTATCCCACCCCCTCCTCTCGCCTTAGAAGAGGCCAGCAGGCAAGGAATTCCAACAGATGTTCCTTTGGAGGCTGGGGCATAAGCGTCTTTCTTCTGCGGGCCCCAACCCCCAGCTATGTTATCAGAGACCACCTGCCATTCTGGGCTTCGGTGCATCTGTGCGTACACTTGTACACACACACAAGCTTCTTTCTGGGAAGCTGTGTAACCGTCGAAGCAGGTGCAGAGGTGGAGGGGCACTGAGGGCTAAAATGTCAGGACAGCCCCCAAGGGGAGGGCATGGCTGTACCCAGCCAACCTGGCACCAGAGGTGACCAATTTTATTGGCTTGGTTTCCAATCTGCACCTGGGCCTTGGGGGTAAAACAAGGACAGCTCTCTGTTGTCACCAAAGAACAACCTGCTTCACCCCCACTCCTACCCATTTCTCTCCCCATTTCCTGTTTGTTAACAAACGCTGCAACCCAGCCCAGTCTGATCAAAAGCAATGGGAGGAAAGGCAACCACTACCCTAAATCCTGAGCCCTGGTCCCTCAGCTCAGGCTGGGGATGTCCAGCTGTTCCCACTAATGCCTGGCAGCTGCTCTCACGGCTGTGGCCCTAACAGCTGGAAGGGAACAGCTGTGCTCTGAAAGATACTGCTCACGCCCCATGACCAGGGAGGAGAGATCTGTGCTGAGCAGAGTCCCTCAGGTCCCTGCACTCCCTCTCACCAAGGGCCGGGGCCAGGGGATGGCCAGAGTGTCAAGTATCACTGAAGCCAGAGGCAACTGATAGGATGGCCAAGGGCCAAAACAGCCTCAGCAACTTTCATTTGGCCTAGAGTGAATTAAAAGTTTTGAATTCATTGAACTATATTTTTAAATTGTGGTATTTCGCAGAAAAGTGTATATGGGGGGAATGAATATAGATAGAGGGAAAAACAGGACACGCAGCGGGGCTGTATTTCCATAAGACTAGGGCTGGCTGGAGCCAAGGTCCCGGCAGCCAGTGTCCCCTCCATTCTGCCTGAGTCCATCTCGCTGCTGTGCCAGCAGAATCCCATGGGAAGATCAATTAGTCTCCTTGTATTGGGATCTGAGGGGTCTGTCCATTTGCCCAGGCTTCCAACCCCCCCCACCCCCGCCATGAGTTTATGCTAGAAATGGGATTCCCAAAGGGTGGCACCAGTTTCTTGATAGTGGGGAACCCCTCCTCACTTACGTCTGTTCTGCCACATGGGGGTCCATGGGGCTGGGAGAATCCATGCCGAGACCTGGGGGGACAGGGTGGCTTGGTTTGAAAGTCAGGGCCTTTTCTGCACTTCCCCCCATCATGTTCCAAACCCATTCAAAGAAGGGAGGAACCTGTTTTTATTTTATATTTTGACACATTCAAAAAGTGAAACAAAAACCCATCCATACCCCCTCCCAAGGCTGACACATTACTCCCCAAATTGCACAGGACTCTACTCCATTTATGCCATGGAAATGCTTCTACTTAAATTTTTAAATTCAAAACTATACTCAGCATTTTTTCCCTGAACTGGTTTACAATAATTTGCTCTGAGAGATAGCAGCTTTTTAAAGGAAAGGGTTCTAACCGAAGACAAGTGAATGCTATAAAATGACCAACTTTCCATCCTAATGCCTCCCAGGTGGGGCTGTGGTTCAGGGATTTTGGCGCCTGGTTTTAAATAGGTAAGATCTCATCTCCCCCGGAGGGCCCCACCCAGCCCGCTCAGCCTGTCTGGGCTGGGTGTGGTGAGCCCCACCAGGAGGAAGCAGGGGGAGGGCTCCTGAACCCAAAAGGCCAGTGACAGGATGTTAGTCTGATATACACAGAAGCTGGGAGGCTCAGGCTGCCCCCTAAATTCTCAGGTACCCCTGAGCCTTACCTGCATCAGAAGATTCAGAAGACTCAGATGACAGGGAGGACTCAGACATACATCGGGATAGGGGGCCTGTCCGTCTCTTTGGGGTGTCGCTGGGAAGGAAGCAGAGACCCAGGAAGGAGAAAGGTAAATGTGGGGATCAGTATTCCCATCAGCCACTATCTTAGTCGGACCCACCCACTCTCTGCCCTTCCCCAGGGAGATGGTTGCAGGGAGGAACCATCTCCTTAAGGCAGGCTACTTAAGAACTTCTCTTTAGTGATTGATTTTTAAAAGGTGCTTCTGGGTAGTGGGGGGAAGGAGATTCCATGGCTGAAGCAAGATGGTGCCCATCCTGGGGGTGTGGGCTGAGGGGAGGCAGAGCTGGCCCGGAGAGCATTCCCTAAAACTCTTCGGGTCCCTATCCTGCCAGAAGCCTTCCTAGAGAAAGGGCCCAAGCTCAGATCTCCTGCTTCAAGGACAACCCAGACAGGCCCTGCAGGCGTGCTCAGGGAGCAGGATCAGAGTCTAGTCCCTTCACCCCAGGAAAGAACTGGGGATGAAGTGAGCGGGAGCAAGGGTTCGCCACTCTCAACTTCCCTCTCTAGGCTCAGGATCCCCTGCCTGGGGCAAAATGGTGCTGTGGGCAGAGATTAGGTAGCAGCCTGGTGGAAGCCAGTGGGGGAGAAGAAAGAGGAGGTGAAGAGGGTCTCCAGAGGCCCCTGCCGGCCAACAGCAAGTCACTGTCACGAACCCCCGAAGCAGGCTCTGCCTGGGACGCCTTCCGGATGCCCCCCCGGGATTCGGGTCCCCAGTGTCATTCCCCAGGAAGCCTGGGATCAGCACCCCAGTGCAGCCCTGTTGCCCCACACCCAGCCTCCTCGGGGGGGGCCCTACCTGCCCAGCCCGGCGAGGTCGTGCATAGTCTTGGTGAGGGTGGTGACCGGCGAGGACGCGACCGCACGTTCCGGGGACCCCAAAAGGCCACGAGCTTCCAGCCGGATGCCGGGGAGGTGGTCTGGGCGCTCGGCGCCGCCGCGCACGCCGACCGGGCTGAGGGTCACGGCCGGCGCGGGGTGTGGCCGCGGCCGCTCCATCACCGCGGGGTCCCTCTGGCTGGCGGAGGGCCGGGCGGCAGACCCCGACGCCCCGCAGAGCAGGCGGGGCGAGGTGGGGAGCGGGTCCTGGGGAGGGAGGGAGGAGGGAGGGAGCGCGCTGGGGCCGAGGCGTGGGGCGCCCGGGAGGAGAGGGAGGCGGGAAGGGCGGGGAGGGGTGGAGGGGCGCGGGGACCGGCCGGCGGTCCGAGAAAACTCTGGTAGCAGCTGCCACTTCCACCTCCTTATATATTCGAAAAATAACAGCGGCCGCGCCGCCCGACGCCGCCAATGGGGGCGCGGGCAGATGGGGGCGGACCCGAGGGCGGGTCCGCGGGTGAGCGGCGCGGGGACTGGACCAGCCCGGCCCCGCCCAGTTCCCGGCCTGGGTGGGACGCAGAAATTGGGGTTTCTCCCACGCACCCCACCGCGCCCTCCAGTCCGGGGTCAAAACGCCTGACCTCCAGAATTGCGCTTCTTGGGCTGTGGTTTGGGGTTACGCCCTGCCCCCCCCAGCAGAGAGGGCCCCCCGAGGAGTCAATCACCCCCGAGGGGGACCCCCCACTCCGGGCACGTTGACATCGCGTGCAAGCGCCGTGGGCGTGAGCGGCCCGTGCCCGCGGCTGGCCGAGCACACGGCTCCGCAGGGTCTGAGCTCGCCACTCCACCCCGCGCGCGGACGCCGAGGCGTGGAAATGCACGAGCTGGTTCAAGGCCACGCTCTGGGCCGGGGCTGGAACCCAGATTCACCCCGGGCGCCTCCCCGGCCGCGCCTGCGGCCCCGGAGCGTAATTCCCGAGCTGCGCCCCCAGCGCCGAGGGCGGACCCGGGGAGGGAGCCGGCGGGAGCACGTGGACGCCCCCACGGACCCCGGGCTGGAGGGGCCCCGAGGGGTCCAGTGTCCCCCGGCAGTCCCAGAGGGAGGCTCTCCTGCTCAGGGAGCCCAGGAGGGACTCAGCGAGCGCGGAACCCAGTCGTGGACGCATCTCAGGCTCGTGGGTAGCTGGGTTACGCTGGCGCCCGTGGCATCCTATGGTTTAGCTGGAGTTTCTCTGATGATCAGGGAAGCTGAATTGCCACTGGTTTAAACTGAGCAACTTCTAATGACCTAATCACCTTTCCGCGGGGCCCGCTTTTCTGGAACGGGGCCGGAAGGCTCACCCGAGGGGCGTGGGCGGGGAGCCGCTTTTGAATCTAGTCTCCCCAGGAAAGAGGTGGCCCCGCTGGGCGGGGGCCTCGAAGGGAGGCCGCTCGCAGGGCAGGGCTGTAACCTTACGCCCCTCCAGGGCAGCCCTGGCTCTCCAGCCTGGGACGCTGGGGTAGGGATGGCAGGAAAGAAGGTGGGGGCTTGATTGAACCGGGGTAAGTGTGGAAGGAGGAGAGAGGAAGACCCCAGGCCTTCCTGAGAGGGGCGGCCAGAGTGGAATCGGGATCTTCCTTCTCCCGACATTCAGCAGCTGAGGTGCTGTGTGGGCGCCATGCTGTGCGCTCCCTAGGGCTGAGGATGCCGGCTCTCCCCCACCCCTTTACCCACCTCCACCCCCACCCCTTCACCCCCAGTCAAGGTCCAGCTAGGGGTCTCTACCCACTACTCACAGCCAAGGCTGTGACTGCCCCCACACTAAGGGGGGCAATGCTTTCAGGGTCGAATTTTCAAAATCAGCACAGCAGGGAACTCCCTGGCGGCGTAGGGGTTAAGTGTCAGCGCTACCGCGCTTCAGCTTAGGAGCCTGAGTTCCTCCCGGGCGGGGGAGCTAACCACCTAAGCCGCAGCAGACCTCACCCGTCTCTGCTGCTGCTCCCCTCAGCAGTGTATTTCAGTCAATCTGCCTGTTCTGCTCCCACCTCTGTCTCTGGTGAATCCTCTTCCTCGCCCCCCCCCCACATCTGGCCTACACCCCAATTCTTTTATACATAAATAACTTAATCTTTTTTAAAAAAAAAAACAAACTCAAAATCAGCACAGCAGGGGTTACCCCATACACACCTTTACCTGGTATGGGGAGGGTGTTGGTGGGGGTGGAGGGGTGTTACACTCTTGGAGTCCTGAAATCCCACAGTCAGTCACTTCTGAGCCAGTAAAGTGGGGCCAGGACCACAGAGGGATCATTCCAGAACACCCCACACATCAGTTCTATCTTCCTGAATCTCCTTAACCAATTAGATCATGGATTATATGCTCAATTGAAAAAAAACTAGTCAATAAAAATAAAATATTTGCAAACATCCCAGTAAGAGGGTTACTCCCCCTCCAGCCAGGCCCTGGTTACAATAACACTTCTGAGCTGCCGTGGGCTTCACCTTCCCGATGAAAGGAAGCTCTTGGCACTAGCCTGTAAGCATCAAGCTCTGGGCAATAGAAACATAATGAATAAATAAATATTTTTTTTAAAAAAGAAACATAATGGGAGGCACAAATGTGAGCTACATATATAATTAAAATTTTTGTAGTAATCACATCCTAAAAAGAAGTCGATGAAATTTCAGGACTAAGTAATTTAATGTTTTATTTACCCAATGTAGTTAAAATACCATTTCAACATGTTATCAATATAAAGATTTTTTTAATGAGACAGTTTACATACTTCTTTTTTGGTACCAAGTCTATACGTTCAATGTGCATTTTACATTTACAGTACATTTACATCTCATTTTGGACTTGCCAGTCCATTTCAAGTGTTCAGTACCCACATGTGGTTAGTGGCTACCTTAGTGGACAGTGCAGATCTATGTATTTATAAGCATGTTATGTCCGTATTTTTTAAAAATATGCAATCAGCTTATGAAACATCATTTTACACCTTGCTGTCTCCATTGTACTTGAACATGGATCCGTAATGGTATATATTGATATTTATTCAGTTCCCTAGTGCTGAACCTTAGGTTATTAACTTTTACAATGAGGCAGTAGGTATGCATAGCATGGATTCCTGAAGAGGAACTGCTGGAAGGCATAAACTTTATTTATTGAAATCCCTTTTCCCTTTCCTGAATCTCATGTCCTCAAGCTGAGCTGTTGAAGATCAGGGATCAAGTTATTTACCTCCCCTCCTGTCTCCCAGCACCTCACATGGACCCGAGCCCAAGTGTGGCTTCTGACCCCAGATGCTACTTTTTTTTTTTTTTAAAGATTTATTTATTTATGCAAGCACTGGGTACAGTCAGAAGCTTGGGAGGGTGAGAGAATTCACCAGAGCCAGAGGAAAGAGCAGAGCAGGCAGACTGATGAGGTACACTGCTGAGGGGAGCAGCGGGCTGCAGGAGAGGTCTACGGGCCATGTGGGACCCTTGCCCGGCGGTCAGGGATGGAACTGGTGCTGCAGAGGCTGCGGGCAACTTTGCAACCCAGTGCTCAACCGCTGTACCACTGGGGAGGCCCTCCTTTTTTTTTTTTAAGATTTATTTTATTTATTTATGCATACAAGAACTGGGGTGTAGGCCAGCGATGCGGAAGCGTGAGAGGATTCATCAAAAACAGTGTAGGGAGCAGAACAAGTAGATCTACTGACATACGCTGCTGAGGGGAGCCATGGGAGAGACAGGAGAGGTCTGCTGCTCCATGTGGATCAGCTCCCTGGCCGGGGATCGAACTTGTGCTGCAGTAGCTGCTGATAGCTTCATAGTGCTGCGTCTTAACCCCTTTTGCCATCAGGGAGGCCCCCCATATGCCACTCTTAAGGAGATGATAAAGGTACTCACCAATGTATGTTCACCAAGTGAAATATAGATGCCAAGCTTGGGGCATCCTTCAATGGGGGAACAGCTACTGCAGAGGGCTCCTCTATACCATGCAGTACCTTCAGCCGTTAGAGAGAACGGGCATAGGGATGCCTGGCACCTGGCAGGGCTCACTACGTAGTAGTTACTGATTATTGAATAATTACATATTGCGGTCTCGGAATAGGCTTTTGAAGAAAGGGTTCTGAGAACAAAAGAACTTTGACACTCACTCACATAGATATTCATTAACATGAAAAGATGTTCAGGTCAGGGCCTCCCTGGTGGCCTAGGGGTTAGGTCTCAGCACTATCACCTTTACCGCCTGAACTAGATCCCCAGCCAGGGAGCTGACCCACATGTGGAGCAGCAGACCTCTCCTGTCTCACCCGCTGCTCCCCTCAGCAGTGTATTTCAGTAGATTTGCCTGTTCTCCCCACTCTAACTCTGATGAATCCTCTCATCCGCACCTCATACCACTGGCCTATACCCCAGTTCTTCTACACAAAATAAATAAAAACATTAAAAAAAAAAAGATTTTCAGAATATGGGCTACAAAATATTTTGCCAAGTGTGGGCCCACTGAAAACAATGTGCACAGTGGAATTAAAAGGAATGAAATGTTTTTATTCTCAAAATTTTCTGGTTTTAAGATATTTTCCCAATTTTCCACTCCTAAATATATACCGAAGAGAAATGAAAACATATATCCACATTAATGCTGCAAGCAAGCAGCATTATTCATACTTGCCAAAAGGTAGAAATGACCCAAATGTTCAACTGACAGTGGATAATATTCAGCCATGAAAAAAGAATAAAGTACTGACAGATGCTACATCAGGGATGAACCTTGCATGTTATTAAATGAAAGAAGCTAATCATAAATGACATATATTGTATGATTTCATCATATAAAATGTCTAAGACAGAAGCCTTCAAATAGAAAGTGGATTAGTGGTTGCTTAGAGCTGGGGAAGGACGGGGTGGGGATGGGGAATAGGGAAACCATAGCTAAAGGATATGGGGTGTCTAAGGTGTTGAAAATGTTCTCAAATTGATTTTGATCATAGTTGTACATATCTGTATATTGTACCCTTTAAATGGGTAAATTACATGGCATATAAGTTATCTCTTAACAAAGCCTATAAAAATATAAGCATATTCTCTGAAGGACGGGGTATATTCCTGAACAGTGTCTTCCACTTCCTGGGAACCACACAAAGGACACTGGAATGGCCACTTCAAAGAAGTAGCCACATACATGTAGTGATGGCATAGCCATTTGCAGACACCCCATCTACTGGGTGCTTATGTTAGGGGGAAGTGATGTCCTGAGTTAATCCCATACAGGATTAACTTTGTGGACCCCACCCCCACTCCAGACTAAAGCCATCAAGACTCTGGGAAAGACAAATCCCATCACCACCAAGGGAGGGTGGCTGGGACCTGAGGGTGGAGTTGGGCAGCCAGGTTGGATATAAAAAACCAAACACGTGGGCCTTGGGCTCTCTCTGACTCGCGATCGCTCGCCTCCTGGCTGTTCACCGCTCCTGGCTGGCGGCCAGCTCTGAGTGCCATTTTGGGATTCCTAATCGGCGGATCGGGTAGGACTCATTTAAAACTTTGTCTCCCACTTTTCTCCCAGAGCTGTACATTTCCTCATTTCCCCTTCCCTTTGTAAATAAACCTTTATTAACCTTTCACGTGTGCCTGCAGTAGAGCATTGATAAGTCCTTTTAAGCGCGCGGGTGAGGACCCACAGTCAGGCACCCCGTTTTGTATCAGGGTTGCTCTACAACACTTATAGCAGTTTGCAGGGCCCTTTAACCAGGCCCTCTCAACTGACCACTTCCTGCACCAATTCATCTGGGTACCTGAGATCCTACCTCTTTCTGTAAGCTCCATTTTCCCCTTCTTCACATTAGGGAAGTCTACAGTTCACCTTCTCTTTTCTTGACGCAGGCTGTCCAAAGCTGTTTACCAGATAAACAAAGCTGTTTATCTTATACCCTTCCATGGCTTTTCATGCCCCTCAGCAAGCTTTCCATTCTCCTTTGCATTTTAAAGGGCCTTGCAGTGCTGGCTTATTGAAGACAAGTTGGAAAATTCAGTGCAGTAAAGAAAAAAAAAGCCCACCAATCAGTCCATTCACTCTAGCAGCCACTGATTATAATCCAGGATGCGTGGGAAGGGACGAGGGGACGAGGAACCTACGATTTCCTGAAGATGCATAGGAAGGAGCCCCTACAGTCACCTCTCCAGTGACTGAGCATCGATCTGCTCCTACAGGAGACGGTCTCCCACATTTTCTTCAAGACTTTGTAATTAGAAAAATATCTTTTTTACATCTCAGGGTGGGAACTGCCTAAGTAAAACACAAAACCTGGAAGTAATAAAGGAAGAAAAAAAATGAACAGATCCACCTACTTAAAAATTAAAAACTTCTCCTATCTTAGACTACCTAGCCTAAGTTAAAGGACAAATGGCAGATTGGGAGAAAACATTTGCAATACACTTAGCAAAAGTTTATTTAATGTTCAGAATACATGTAGAGTTGCTAAAACTGAACAAAAGGACAAATACAAGAGAAACAACGTGGGTAAGGGATTTGACTAGAAAGTCACAGGATCCCAAAGGTCAATAAACTCAGGAAGAGAGAAAGATACACTAAAACAGCAGAGACTTACCCTTGGCTTCCAGGACATCACACAGGTTGGCTTTCTTCCTACCAATTCAACTGTTCCTCCTCCTTTCTCCGTCCTTAAGTTGCAGTGTGGAGGGCACTGTCCTTGGTTCTCTTTCCTTTTTTGTCTATACCCACTGTCTTGAAGACTCAGCCAGCCCCAGGTCTTCAGCGCTGCCCACCACCCCCTTCACAGCCTTCCCCTCTTGCTAACCTAAGAGACTTCTTAAAAACTGCAATATATTCAATGTTTAAGACTTTGTCACTTTTATGTGTTTGTTGCAGGAGGAGGCTTCAGAGATTCACGTGCATGGTTACTGATGTATAGATACACCACGTTATTCCTTCCTGTAAGTGAAAGCACATACACTTATGGTTATATGCATGGAAAAGTCCAGAAAGTGAAGAAGTACCTGGTATCAGTGTTATTTATGGATAGTGCTATCACGACCAAATAGATTAAAAACTGTACCCCTGCTTATAAAAATCACCTAAATGTGTAACAACAGGCTACCTGGATTGGTGCTCGTCTATAATGGCAATAATATTCAGCCATTAAAGAGCATGTTGGCAGTAATTTACCGATATGGCAAAGTTCTCATCACTGGATGCCAGGTAAAACGGCAGGCGATGCCAGCTATACGGTCTCCACTGTCTGCTGCCAGTTTTATGCAATAAATTTTTTAAAAGAAAACCGATGCGCCTAGAGAAAAGACTGGAAGGAACTGTATCAGATGTTACCTGCCCATCTCTCCAGGTGCTGAGGTGAAAGGTGCTTTTTTTTTTTTTTTTTTTTTTTTTAGTTTCCTGTATTTTTCAGTTTCTGGGAAAACACTGGATTATTGTCGCCTTAATAAAAGGCAGAGCCGCGCGGCTGTTCTTCCTCGGAGGCGGCCGGGCTCTGCCGCCCCCCCCGCCCGCCCGCGGGGTCCGGCGCGCGGGCGCCCGGCGGGTCCGCCAGGCCGCAGCGCCCCCCGCGGCCGGCCCGGGCGGCGGGAGCGGGGTGGGCGCGGAGGGCGGGAGGCGGTGCCGGGCGTCCCCGCGCTTCCCGCGAGATCCCGCTCCGCCCGCTCCGCCCTGCTCGCCGCGCGCCGCGCGCCCCGCTCCCCGCGCCGCGGCACTTCCTGCCGCCCGCGCCGCCCGCCCGCCGCCCGCCCGCCGCCCGCGCCCGCCGCCCGCGCCTCGCCTTCCGGCGCCCCCGAAGGTGCCCCCGGCCGGGCCGGGTCGTCGCCCCGCCCGCCGCCCCGCGAGCCGCTTTGTCTCGGGCGGGGCGTGCGGGCGGGAGAGGCCGCCAGGTGCCCCCCGCCGCGGGCCCGGGCCCCCCGCCCCGGGGCGGCGGCGGTGGCGCCGGGCCCCGGGGCGGGGGGCGCGCCGGGATGGGCCCCAAGCGGCGGCAGCTGACGTTCCGGGAGAAGTCGCGGATCATCCAGGAGGTGGAGGAGAACCCGGACCTGCGTAAGGGCGAGATCGCGCGGCGCTTCAACATCCCGCCGTCCACGCTGAGCACCATCCTCAAGAACAAGCGGGCCATCCTGGCGTCGGAGCGCAAGTACGGGGTGGCCTCCACCTGCCGCAAGACCAACAAGCTGTCGCCCTACGACAAGCTCGAGGGGCTGCTCATCGCCTGGTTCCAGCAGATCCGCGCCGCCGGCCTGCCCGTCAAGGGCATCATCCTCAAGGAGAAGGCGCTGCGCATCGCCGAGGAGCTGGGCATGGACGACTTCACCGCCTCCAACGGCTGGCTGGACCGCTTCCGCCGGCGCCACGGCGTGGTGTCCTGCAGCGGCGTGGCCCGCGCCCGCGCGCGCGGCGCCGGCGCCCGGCCCCCGGCGGCGCCCGCCAGCCCGCCCGCCGTGCCCTCGGAGGGCGGCGGCGGGGGCACGACGGGCTGGCGCGCGCTGGAGGAGCAGCCGCCGTCCGTGGCCGAGGGCTACGCCTCGCAGGACGTGTTCAGCGCCATCGAGACCAGCCTCTGGTACGACTTCCTGCCCGACCAGGCCGCGGGGCTGTGCGGCGGCGACGGGCGGGCGCGCCGGGCCACCCAGCGGCTGAGCGTCCTGCTGTGCGCCAACGCCGACGGCAGCGAGAAGCTGCCCCCGCTCGTGGCCGGCAAGTCGGCCAAGCCCCGCGCGGGCCAGGCGGGGCTGCCCTGCGACTACACCGCCAACTCCAAGGGGGGCGTCACCACGCAGGCGCTGGCCAAGTACCTGAAGGCCCTGGACACCCGCATGGCCGCGGAGTCGCGCCGCGTCCTGCTGCTCGCCGGCCGCCTGGCCGCCCAGTCCCTGGACACCTCGGGGCTGCGGCACGTGCAGCTGGCCTTCTTCCCGCCGGGCACCGTGCAGCCGCTGGAGCGGGGCGTGGTGCAGCAGGTGAAGGGCCACTACCGCCAGGCCATGCTGCTCAAGGCCATGGCCGCCCTGGAGGGCCAGGATCGCTCGGGCCTGCAGCTGGGCCTCATGGAGGCCTTGCACTTCGTGGCCGCGGCCTGGCAGGCCGTGGAGCCCGCGGACATCGCTGCCTGCTTTCGGGAAGCCGGCTTCGGGGGCGGCCCCAATGCCACCATCACCACTGCCCTCAAGAGCGAGGGGGAGGAGGAGGAGGAGGAGGACGAGGAGGAGGAGGAGGAGGAAGAGGAGGAGGAGGGGGAAGGCGGGGAGGAGGAGGAGGAGGAGGAGGAAGAGGAGGAGGGGGAGGAGGAGGAGGAAGGGGGCGTCGGGGAGGAGCTGGGGGAGGAGGAGGAGGTGGAGGAGGAGGGCGAGGAGGACAGCGAGGAGGACGAGGACGAGGAGGAGGAGGAGAGCTCCTCCGAGGGCCTGGAGGCCGAGGACTGGGCGCAGGGCGTGGTGGAGGCGGGGGGCAGCTTCGGGGGCTACGGTGCCCAGGAGGAGGCGCAGTGCCCCACCCTCCACTTCCTGGAAGGCGAGGAGGACTCGGAGTCGGACAGTGAGGAGGAGGACGAGGAGGAGGAGGACGAGGACGACGAAGACGAGGACGAGGAGGACGGCGACGAGGTGCCCGTGCCCAGCTTCGGGGAGGCCATGGCCTACTTTGCGATGGTCAAGCGGTACCTGACCTCCTTCCCCATCGACGACCGTGTGCAGAGCCACATCCTCCACTTGGAACACGATCTGATCCATGTGACCAGAAAGAACCACGCCAGGCAGGCGGGAGTTCGGGGTCTCGGACATCAGAGCTGAGCCACGGGCCTCGCCGTGCTCCCAACCCGGATGCGGCAGCACCGGCCCAGGGCCGAGCGAGGACTCTGGGCCACCGCTGTGGATGGGTCAGAGTAGGGAGCCCCAGATCCTCCAGCAATGTCGCCCTGGCCCTGCGATGGGCCCAGTCACCTCTCGGGCCCAGGGCTGGGGTCAGCCTCACTGCCTGCTTATTGCCTCTTTCTCAGAATCCTCTTTCCTCCCCATTTGCCCCTGGGCTTGGGGGACCAGCTGGGGAGGGTGGGGGAGCTGTCCGGTGCTACCACACCATGCCATCAGTGGACTAGGCCACAGCCGTAGCCAGGGATGGGCCCTGGACGCTCCTGGCCGGAGAGTGCCTCTCCCCTCTGCCGTCCACATCAGGTCATTGGTGGGGGGGACCCCAAAGCCATTCTGGGAAGGGCTCCATAGGAAGGTCCAGCCTAGGCCCCAACTAGGCTGGCAGCCCCCCACCTCCGCCCCAGGCCACCTCGAGAAGCACAGTCTAACCACAGGCTCCTGAGCCTGCCTCTGCCTGCTTCCCTACCACCCCGTTCCTTTTCTCTGGCCCAGCCCATGTTACTTTGGCCCTTGGTCTTCTTTCCAGATTGGAGGTTCCCAAGAGGCCCTCCAGGGGAGTGATAATGGGCGCTTCCCTTGTGGGCAGCTGCAGGCCCCATGCCTCTCATCCCTCTCTGGCAGGGCCCTATCCTGGGCAGGGGGCCTGGGGCTGGGCCCAGAGTCCAGCCATCCAGTTGCTCCTTTCCTAGTCTGAATTCAATAAATCCGCTCACCCCCCTTTTGTGGGGGGTGAACGTTTTAACAGCCAAGGGTGCATCCTTCATGGTCTGGGCTTGCGTCTGTCTTGGGGAAACATTCCTTCCCGGTTCCCTTTAGTCCTTGCTCTGGTGGGACATGGAAGCAAGTGTTGAGAAGGTGGCCACAGCCTAGGCCCTGACTGGGGTGCAGGGCCTCCTCCATAGCTAAATGTTATCTAGGCTGGGGAGGAAGGGGTCTTCAGTGCACCTACATTGGTATGCGGAAGCCAGGCCTTGCACTGTTGCGGGGTTAGAGAAAAGCTTGGGTCAGGTGGCTGGACAGGAGGGAGCGAGCTAGCAGTCCTGTTGGGCCAAATTGAGCTCCAGGCACCTGGCATCTAGGCTTATCAAGGAGGTCTGATAGTGACGTTCTTTGCAGGAGTGGAGTCAGAGGCAGAAAGAAGGGTGTGGGGGCAGCTCCTCTGGTCCAGGTTAGAGTTTGGAGGAGCCTGCAGGGCACTCCTTGGTTTACCTTTGGTGAACTCTTTAGGCCTTTCAGTGATTGGCAATTCCAAGCCTGGTGGCTGTCCTTGGAGACAGTGGCAGAAAGAAGGTGAAATGACTAGCCCATGGAATTGCTGGGCTTGGATTACACCCCTAAGAGGCTGAGGATGAGTTGACTCCCCATTCATGGCCCAGGGGGCCCCCCAGTCCAAAGATGAGGACTGGTGCCTCTGCTGGCCCAACTCCCTCTTTCTTTCAGGACCCAGCCTCTCCCTTCCTGGCCCACCCTCATTGAGGCCCTCAGGCCCCCGCTGGTGCCAGCTGGGGAAAAGGCCTTAGCTTGAACACAGCCGGCAGCTCTGGGCCCCAAACCGGTTTTCCCACCTCCTCTGGGCTGGCATGTCACCCCTGTGGTTCCCTCCCCCACCTCCCTGCAGTTCCTCTCTCCACCCTGGAATGTTAAGGGGGGGATATCCAGGTCATCTTTTGTCCCTTACCTGCCATGGGTGTGGTTCCTTCTTGAAAGGCAAGGTGCTTTGAATGACTTTTAAATGAGAAGGTTTCAAAGGTTCCACACGGGACCTTAAGCATTCAGGGATCCCCTCCAGGTTTTGAAGGCTTCAAAACTAAGTGGCAGTGACAAGTAGTTGGGATTCCCCTGACACCTCCACTAATCCCCACCCTGGAGCCCATCCGAGTTCTGGAGGAGACCAGCAAGCCAAGCCGACCCTGACCTGCCCTGGAGTAAGCAGGTGGGAGCAAAAGCCTCCCCAAGTGTCCCTGACCAACTCTAGTCCCTCGCCTCACATACCAACAAGGCAATCACTTTCGTGTGTCTCCTATCAACAAGAACACCTCTTTTGCTGGAACTGAGATCACGTCAATGATAATACCAAGCGATGTTACCAGGTAGGCCCTTGCTGTATGCCAGGCGCTGTGCTAAGCACGTCAGATGCTCACAAAGCCCCTCTGAGGTAGGTAAAACCATGAAAAAACAGGCACAGAGAGGTCCAGCCATACCCAAAACCATACCGCTAGTCTGGTGGAAGCAAGCTTTCTCTAGGGACTAACCCTGGAAGTGCCCCTGTACCCCTTCACTAAGGATCCATATTCCTAACCCTCCTGTAGGCAGTGCTCTTTTGAAAAGGAACTGTTAATGAACCAATTTGTAACCCTAGCTCTCTGGAGGGAGACAAGGGAAGTGTCTGTAGTAGCCTCACTGCTCCTATACCTGTAACCAACTCCCATTTTCCTAGTCCCCACACAAATAACAGGTCTTCTATAAATCCTTTTTCTATCACCCCTCTGGGACAAATAGGTAAGGTCTGTCTCTGTTTCACAAAGCAGGAAATAGGGTTAAGGAGTTAAATGACCTGCCAAGACGCTAACCTTGAGCTCTGGTGTTCTTCCTGAGAGTCTCGGTTACGTATTAAGTGCCACATGGGACACTGCCGTGGAGGCAGGGTGGGTACTGGTGATGGCCCCATGAGCACAGAACCTTGAGAGTGACTGGCAAGGAGGCTGTCACACAGACTGTTACAGTCCAGATGGGAAGCACTGGTCATTAAAACGGATTCCCAGTTAAAGCTGACAAACACTGGGATGCTCCCTTCACTTGCAACTGATTGCCAAGGACCCAGAAGTGGGTAGGGGTCTCAGCCTTGGGAATGTTGGTGCAGTGGGTTCTGTGGGCCTACTTGGCTTTCTCAGGCCCCAGAGCAGGCCAATGGCTGGTCAGTCTGTGGCGTGGGCCCAGAGGTGATTCCTTCTTGGGGAGCGAGGAAGACAAGGCCATCTTTTCAAAGGTCGATCCTGAGAGGAGGTCATGGAGCAGAAACTACAACTCCCAGAAGCCCATGCTCCTCGGAGACTTGATGGTTGCCATGGCTTCAGAAAACAATATGGCTGCTCCCAGCTAGGACAAGAGTCAGGATTAGAGAGGTAGAGGCGGGTGTGGGCGCCGGCAGTGGAGGGAGAGGAAGCGCTGGAGGTGTCTTGAGTTTAGGATTGGACGCTGCACGGCTGGAACAGTCTGCTGAGGGCGCCGATGGCGGGTAACGTGGACGAGGAGGCGTTACACCAGCTGTACCTGTGGGTGGACAACATCCCTCTCTCCCGGCCCAAGCGAAATCTCTCACGGGACTTCAGTGACGGAGGTGTGCACCCGAGAGTGTATGTGTGCGCGCCTGTGTGTATCCTGTTTGTCCGTGTTCTTTCTTGTGTTTTATGTGGAAGGGGGTCTGTGTGTATTCATATCTCTGTGTTTGTGTGTATGTAACAGGTGTTTTGTCTATCTCCTAGGACTTTTAATAGAAGTGTGTGTATGTGGGGGGGTGAGATTCTCTCTTGTGGGAGTCTGAGCATGTACGTGTTCATATGTGTATTGACACATTTTGTCCTGTATGTAGCATGTAGTGGGGCTGTGTACACGTGTGCTTTCCTTGTGATTGTGTATCTGTGTGTCTAAGACTGTTTCTCCTGGAATTTCAATGACAGAAGTGTATGCATAGTCTCCCCGTGTATATATTGGCTCATATGTGACTGTCTCTTGGAATACCAGTAATGGAAGTATGTGTATGTGCATTTCTGTATGGTTTTGTGTGTGCTGTGCATGTGCCTGTGTGTCTATACATTCTGTCCTATGTGCATATCTGTAAGGGGGACCTTGTTATAGGTGTCTGTTTGTGTGAGTCTGTGCCTCTCTCCTGGGACCCTGAGTTGGAGTGTGCGTGTGTGTCAATGTGAGTTCTTAGGGTGAGGCTCCAGGCTCTTGAAAGGCTATCTTGGAGGTTCATTCTCTGCTAGAGTACCAGAGACCTGTTTTCAGATGCTAAGTTAATGGGAAACAGATATAGTGCCTCTGGGATATGCTGAAAGTTTAGTCTCTAGTCCATCACTGATCTTGTTTTCTTCTTGTCCACCCTATCCTTCCCTATCACCCTTCCCCTTCCTACAACTCCACTTCAATTGGCCCCACCACTTTGCCACCTCCCCATCCCATTCTCTTACCTCATGCATTTCTCCTTCTCCCTTATCAACCCCCCACCATCTATGTCTGCTCCCATTCCACACCTCAGTCCTGGTCGCAGAAATTATCAAGTTTTACTTCCCCAAGATGGTGGAGATGCACAATTATGTTCCTGCCAACTCTCTTCAGCAGAAACTCAGCAACTGGGGTCACTTGAACAGGTAGCAGAATACCTGGGTGCACAGGCACAGGGCTATCCCAACCCACCAGGCTAGGACAGTGTTAGCGACAAGGTGGGGAAGACAACATGAACAGACAATGTCTGATATTAAAATCAAGCACTCTTGGGCCTCCCCGGTGGCGCAGCAGTTGAGCGCTGGGTTGCGAAGCTGCCCGCAGCCTCTGCAGCGCTGGTTCAATCCCCAGCTGCTCCCTGGCCACCGGAGGAGGGGCCCACATGGTGCGCAGACCTCTCCTGCCGGCCGCTGCTCCCCTCAGCAGTGTACTTCGGTCCTTCTGCCTGCTCTGCTCCCCGCTCTGGCTCTGGTGAATCCTCTCACCCCCACACCTCTGGCCTGTACCCCAGTTCTTGTATGCATAAATAAATCTTTAAAAAATAATAAAATAAAAGCAAGCACTCTAACTGTGGAGGCAAGGAACCTCCGGACACCCAAGCACAGGGCTTAGATGCAATGCCCGTCCTTTCCCCTAGGGTGGTGTGCTTAGGACTGCAACTGCTGCACGCCCTTCTGTCCCCCCCACCCCCCCATTACTTCATTCCCCCCAGAACCCAGTCCACCATTCCAGTGTCTACCTCCCCAGGAAGGTGTTGAACAAGCTGAACTTCTCAGTACCAGAGGACGTGATGCGCAAGATTGCTCAGTGTGCCCCGGGCGTGGTGGAGCTGGTGCTCATTCCTCTGAGGCAGCGCCTGGAGGAGCGGCAGCAGAGACGCAGGAAGCAGGGCACAGGCTCACTACAGGTGCCCCCGCCTCAGGCTTCTCCCACTGCCCAGGGGAGCTTCCCATGCGGTAGAAAGTCCTTGGCAATAAGTATGGGAGAAGGGAGCCTGACCTGGGGGACCACAGAAGGGACATGGGGCTCCTTGAGGATGGCAAGTCCTAACTCACAGTGGGTCCCTGGGGTTCTTTCAGGAGTTGGCTCCCCAGGATGGCACTGGCTACATGGATGTGGGTAAAGTGGCCTTTACTTTCGCTTCCTCCTGGAGAAACCTTCCTCTTGTCCTTCCTTTCTATGTGGGTGGTTGGGGAGTAGGAAGGAAAGACAGGAAAATAGGGCTCCAATATTGTTATTCCTCCACTTTCCTTGCTCAGGGTTGTCCCAGAAGGTCGCAGGGGAAGGTGTTCTGGACCCCAAGGAAGGGGGGCAGCTCAGGTAAGGAAGCTGGGAGTTCTTAACCTCATCAGGTCAGGCGATCTCCCTACAAAGAACTGAGAGGAGAGGGTGGGGACAGGTTGTGTCTGGAAAGTCTGGGACCAGAGGAAGTAAGGGGGGGAGGGGAAGGAGAAAACACCTAACAGTGAACATAGGAAGGATGAGGGTGGGGCCGAAGTCAGGCCTCTGCTAAGTTGCTTCCCACACCAGGGGTGTGCGGCTGCCAGCTCCCCATCCTCCAAGATACAGCCAGGCTCTGCAGGGCGATCCAAGTTTCGTCCTCCAGATTGCTGAAAAGGAACAGGAGCTGCTGGCTTCACAGGAGACAGTGCAGGTGAGGGTGCGCAGGGAAGGTGCAGAGTTGGGTGGCAGTAATGAGAGTCGGGGCTTGACCTCTTTGCGGTGTGGCCCAGGTCCTGCAGATGAAGGTGAGGCGCTTGGAGCACCTGCTCCAGCTCAAGAACGTGCGCATCGACGACCTTTCCCGAAGGCTCCAGCAGGCGGAGCGTAAGCAGCGGTGAGCGGTGGCTGGGAGCCACGCGGGGATGCCCTAGTACCAGCTAAAACCCCCGACTCTGAGTGACCAACAAAACCGATGCACCCACCCACTGAAGGCCAAATGGGTGGGCAGAGCCATCAGCTCCAATGTACCTCCTGGGGTGCGAGCTTCCCCCCTTGGGATAGGGGTATGTGGGGACCCCGCTGAGATGAGCCCCAGGACTAAGCCATCTCCTCCTGCTCCATCCGAGTCAGGAGAATGGACCGTTTTCCAGAACTCAGGAGCCATGTGCAGAAACCTGGCATGCACCCCAAAACTGTGCCCCGCACCAGGGCCTCAGCCTTGGTGCTCCCTATGCTGGGCCCAGGGAGGCAGTCCCCCAGTTCAGTCCAAACCCCTAGAACTAAGTGCCCACCTAGCTCTGAGGACAGTGCCGTTTCCATCCAGGCTAGTTCTCCAACCCCTGGGTCACGTGGAAAGTTGCCCTTAGCAGCAAAGGAGCTCTCTTGCCCCTCCCAGTCACTCACTTGGGATCAGGCTCAAGGCTGGAGAGTGCAGCAGCTAGAGAGGAAGGGGCTTAGCCAGGGATAGGGACGACATCCACACACCTATCCCAGTCACCCTCCCCTCTTGTGGAGTACCTTTGAGAATGTTTGGGGGATATGGGACAGGTTGCCCCCATTAAAGATGTTGTGCCTTCTTCTGTGCCTGCCTTTTTTCTTTGCCAGGATCTCTGAAGGGAGCTAGTTCCTAACCCCCACCCCCTGAATTAAAAAGCTGCGTCGGTTGAAAGTGGGTCTCACCTGCAGGTGGCTGGGTCCTGGGTGGCCTCTATTAGGCAATAATATCACCAGGGATTAGGTCTTGCTTAGTAGGGCAGTCTGACTTGTAACTGATCTTAGACTTACCCCCAAACCCACACAGTGTCCCCCAACACGTTGGAAAAACAACCCTACCCTCAGAGTCTCAAGTGTAGCCACACACTCACCTCAACCCTGCCCGTGGACTGACACCTGAATGTGTCCTCCACATGACTCTGAATCCTGTCCACAGATTGATTCCAGCTTCTATGAACTGAGGCCAACCTTGGCTGCTAATCCTGACCAAGACACCATGGTCAGGTGACCCTAACTTTGATCATTTACTGAAAACTAGTGACAATGAACATCTGCAAATTCTAAGATCCTGCAATTCTCTTCCTAAGCATATACCCAGGGGAAATTTAAGCTTCTGTGTTCTGGGACACGTACAGCAATGTTCACTGCAATACTTGTAAACAGCAAAAGAACAGAAGAGAACCTATATTAGTTACCTATTACTGTGTAACTTTCTGCGTTGTTTTCTTTCTCTGACAAGGAAAATTCTCCTGTTTCCTCATTTTCAAGTAGACACATCAGTTTCAGTTTGACAGGAAATCACAGGTCTGCATAATGTGCTTATGGACGGGGTGAGCTCCATAAACCAGCTGTTTTTACTTCCATGAAGTATTTACTCTTTGCAGAGGGTCACAGTGACTTCTGCATTTGTGACTTAAAACAGCACACATTATTTCATACTTCCTGTGGGCCAAGTGTCCAGGCATGACTGTATACACTTCTCAAAAAGCTACAGATGTTCCTTGGTCTCAGAGCTGTGGTCTGAGACCACAGCTTGACTGAGGAAGAATCCACTTTCAGGTTCACTTGGTTATTAACAGAATTCAGCTCCTGTGCGTCCTGAGGGTTTCAGTTTCTTGTTGGTTGTTGACAGTGGCTGTCCTCATGTCCTGGCTATGTGGCCATCTCCACGATGGCAGCTTACTTCATCAAAGCCAGCAAGAAAGAGTTGGCAAGGTGGAAGTTACAACCTCATCTAATGCAATCATGAAGCGACAACCATCACATCTGTCATTTTCTGTTTGTTAGAAGTTACTAGGTCCAGTACACATTCAAGGGGAGAGGAACACATGGGTGTGAATATCACCAGTAGGCAAGGATCATTGGGAGCCAGTTGAGAAGCTGGCCACCACAAGGACGAAAAGCAAAAGGGATAATATCTAGGACAGCGTTACTTCTGGGAGGAGATGGAGCAGAGATGCAAACACAATAGTTCATATTCTCCAGGCTGGGATGTCCATGTTGTAACATCTTCTGGTATTTCAAAAGAGGAATAAGAAGAGGAGGAAGACAAAGGAGAATTAAAATTTTTTAAAGCCCCATGTGGACTAAATAAAATACATTTGCAGCCTACTTTGAGTTTATAGTCTGCCAACTTTAGACCTTGAAGAATAGAACAGACATGGGAGTACAATGGGGTGGGGAGCACAGTGGGTCACATAAAAACTTAAGGTGAGAAAGCAGCACCTGGTATGAGTGGGCTGGAATGAAAATGTGCTTCTCTCCAATGCCTGTGCTGGAGGACAACTCCAACGCCAGAGTGTGCACAAAACATCCAAAATGCTGCTAAAAAGCTTGTAAGGCTCTCTGAGGCTGTCAGAGTTTGAACACTATGCAGCAGGGGAGGCCGCGATGGAAACAACCTCGGAAGATAAATCTGCCAAGCGCGGGCACACTGGACACCAGGACACAGGCTAGGAGGTCACAGGGATCCAGGCAGGAGAGTAAGAGGCAGAGACCTGGGTCCTTTAGAAAGGTGGCTCTCAGCTGCCCACGCTGTCTCTCCTCTCATTGCTGGAAGGAGGAAGCCGCTTGCTCCTGCGGGCATTTGAGGAAACCTGCCTTGTCAGCAAAACGGGGCGAGGGCACGTCGTTCCAGGGCGGGCGGCGAAGCCACCGCTGGAACCCCTGAAGACCCGAGGGCGAAGCCTCAGGCTCGGCTGCAACGCGGAGGAGCGAATCACGCGCATCTGGCTGCCATGGCGACCGCCTCCATGGAGACCGGGAGCGGAGGCTGAGGTCCTCCGGGGCGCCGACACGGGCCCTCCCAACCCCCCTCCCGCGCGCCGTCTTTGTTCTGACGCTTGTCCCGGCCCGCCGGGCTCCTAGGACGCGCCTCAGGTTCCCGAGGGGCGCCTCCTCCGTGGCGCGGGGCTAACGTGGAAGGGGAAGGGTCGAGACCCGGCCACACAGCGCGCGGGGCTGAGGTTCCGCCGCTCCTGAGAGGCCCTCGCGACGCCCAGGCGGGTTCGGACGCCTAGGAAGAAGGGCGGCCTCGGGCGCCCCACTTAACGCTGAGCCCGCCTGACAGCTGCTCGAGACGGGGTGATGCCCCAGGGGAGGCCCCTTCCGAGTTGGGAAGCAGCGCGCGCCTCGGCGAGGGAGGGACGCGGGCGTACCCTGTTCCCGGCGCTCCTCCTTCCCTCGCTCCCTTGGGTCCCGTCCAGCCTCTGGCCACGTCGGACGAGTTGTCGGCCTTCCTCGCGAGAACTCGCAGCGCCCGGGCTCCCCGAGAGTTCGCACGGCGCAGCCGCGGCGCCCCACGCACGTGACCCAGTGGCGCCTCGCCCGTTGGTGCGTCTCTGGCCCCACTAATTGGTCCGGAGCATCTTGGCCCCACCCCCCAGGTCGACCAATCGCTGGAGGCGGGGGCGTGGCCGTGGGGCGGGCGGCGGCGGCGGCGCGGGGCTCCCTCCTCGTGCTGGGTGTTGAGCCCCCGCTGCTGCCGCGAGTGCCGCTGCCGCCGCCGCGGACCTCCGCGCCTGGCCCGGTCCCGGGGTGCGCCCCGCACGGTGAGCCGGCCCCGCCCACCCTCGCCCCGCTCCGCCCGGCCAGCAGGGATCCCCGCCGGGCGCCGCGGCTCGTCCTAGACAGTCGTGCCTGGCGCCCCACCAGGCTGGGCGGGGGGCTCTGCTCCCCGGGGCGGATCTGGGGGCGCCCCCTGGCACCTGGACCAAGGAGATGTCAGGCCCGGGACGCGGTGATCGTTCGCTGGTGGAGCTTCTTTCGCGGGGCGGTGTTGGGGGGCACGTGTGACAGTGAGGGCGGGGGCGTGAGGGGGTCAGCGCCGTTATCAGGCCCCCGCCCCCTCTCCCCCGCGCGGTCGCCCCGGCCTGGCGGTGTGACCTTGGGCGAGTGGCCTCTCGGAGCCCAGCGCGCCTCGGCATCCTCTGGGAGGAGGGCGGCGGTGTCTGGTAGTGCGAGCGCCGGAGACTCCTGCGTCAGCAGAGGTGAGGGTGGGGAGGGCCCAGGATGGTCCCTGAGGGATGGGGGCGCTGCCTCGAAGCCCTGGAGGAGTGTGCTGGGCGGCGTCCGGCCGCCCGCGTCCCGGGAGAAGGTGAGAATAGGGCTGGGATAGGGGCGCCACACCCACGGGATGGAAGCGGGAGGGGATGCAGGATTCTCCACCCCGGCCTCTGGTGCCCCGCCTGCACCTCCGGGCTGTCTCGCAGCAGGAGAGCGTCTATTTAGGGGCAGGACCAGAGTTTGTGTTAGCAGGGACTGAGACGCGGAGAGGTTGCCTCTCCCCTTGAATCTTAGCATTGAGATGTTGGGGTAGGGCAGTTTTTCTGACCAGGCTGCCAAAAGTCAGCACCTGGCCTCTGTTGGGGGGCTTCCAGGTCACAGGCTCCAGGCAGGGACCTGGGTGGAGTAGCAGTCTGGAGTTTAGAGGAATCTAAATGTCCTCTAGCCGGGAGCTGGGCAGGTAGGGAGGGGCTGGATGTTGTGGGGAGGAGATGCTGGGCTTAAGAGGGCAGCACTTTGTGAGGAGACAGAAGGAAGGGATTGGGGAGTTCTTGCCCCAGTTCATCGTTCTCGCTCCCCCACCCCCCCACCCCGCCCGCCCGTTTCTGATAGAACAGTCAGACTTACCCTTGCACCTTTGACCTGCTGAAGGCAGGAGGAAATGGAGTCGCAGACCATCCGAGTTGATGTCAAACTGCCACAGCCACACCTGATCTCCAGGCTTGCCTTTGCAGGCTTTGATCTAGGTATGCAGGCCCCCACCATGCCCAGGGCTTTATCAGCTTCTGGAGTCAGCACATCATTGTGGCCTCAGTGGATTTGCTTTTTATCAGCTTAACTTTCATGAGAAGCCGGACAAGTACTTCTGTTGGTCTGAGTGGGGGAGGAAGAGGTGGAGAGTATGGGAGGTTTTGGAATTCCTGACTCAGAAAGTCCTTCAACAGGTTGAGAAACAAGGCCCCAAGAGGTCAGGGGCATGCCCCAGCTCCAGCGGGCTCTGCGATGCTGGGATCTGGGAACAGCCTCTGGGGCAGAGAGTACACCTGTGGGGTGGAGTGCGTAGCAGGTTCTGGAGCTCCACTTTGTCATGGACAGGTTGTCTTTGGCCCGCCCTGCAGGTCCGAGGTGGAACTACCTGGACTGGTACCCGCTACCCTGTGGGCAGGAGTTTAGGAAGCCGAGAACTCTGGGTTCCTGTGTAACCAGCCCTCTGTCCACTCGCGTGCTATATTCCTGGGTCTGCTCTGCGTGCCAGAGGCTTCACTGGGCCTGGCTGAGCCCTGCCCAGGGGAGGGTGACCTCAAAGCAGCCTTTTTCTCTAAAGCTAAGAGGGACCTAAGCTCTGTCCCAGGGAGAGTTTTCCCTGATTTCCCTACGAGTAAGAACCAAAGAGGCCCCCGAAGCCAACTTTCCAGCTTCCCCCCGCCCCCATGCCTATCATGGTCCCACCCCCAACCTGTTGACAGCCCACCTGAGGAGGGTGTCATTTTTGTGTGCGTGTGTGAGGTGTACCATGCTCCTCTTTGGGCCTTTTCCAGGATGTACATCCTTGTGTTTCTCATGAGTCCCTCTGGTTGCAGGGATGGCAGGCTCCCTGCAGTCTGCTCTCTGATGATCCCTGGGGACCCGGTTGGCCTGGGAGTGGGGGAAGGGAAAGCAGCAGGAGGGAAGGAAGAGAAGGTCCCTTAACCCTTGCACTATTTTTTGAGAAATCTGAAGTCCCCAGAGGCCCATTCTTGGATGTTCTGGGATTGACCTTAAGTTCCTCTCTGCCAGTGCTGCCTTGAAATTGCTGTTGCTTCAGAAACCAGGCCTTTGGGTCTTTGCTTCTGCAAAGGTGGGGGTGGAGTGGGGAGCGTTGTCACGGAGCTGCAGCTCCTCGGAGGAAGAAGCTACTGCTTATGCCAGTGCTACAGATGGGAAAACTGAGACACGAAGATGTGCAATAACTTGCCCATGGATCCTGAATGTGAACCGGGACTGTGGGCTTTGGAACCCATGCTCTTCCTCGAGTCCCTGCTGCCTCTGGGGGGCTGGGAGGCTTGGGCCAAGGTCAGGTCTTGACTGGCGCAGGGGGAGGCGTGAGGGTTGTAGGGGGATGGCCAGTGGTTCCCTATGGACACAATGGGGAGCCCGATGTCCTCTCTTCCCAGGACTTGTGTGAGGATGCCAGTCTGGCTCCCGGGAGATGGGGGCAGGACTGCCTGCTGTGAAAGGAGACTGACTTTACCAGCCTGCTCTGGCCCTCTGAAGTCCCTTGTTTGTGTTCTCACTGCCCAAGGGCTGTGGACAGTGCCTGAGTGCCAGTTCCATGCTGAGCTCTGGACAGCATGTGGGAGGTGGGTCTTGCCCACAGTGGGCTTTCCACGGCAAGGATGGCAGGGGCAGGTGACCGGCTGATTGAAGCAACATTATAGGATGGCCAGTGGGAGGCCACACTGTGACACCAGGACAGGGGACTGCTCTCCAAGGCAGGGGTTGGCTAAGAGAGTGAGGGGACAGTTCCTCGGTGAGGGCCTCCCAATGTACAGTCCCTGGCCTGAATGTGCCTCGCCTCTGAGGCAAAGCCCACGCTCAGGCACCCCTTAGTTTGGTCATTCATTCATTTAGCAAATTAGAAGCCAAACACAGTTCCTCCCTGCCAGGCTGTGGGCTGAGTGATGAGTACACAGGGTTTGGCGAAAACACGTTTGCTGTCATTGTAAGCTGGGAAGCACAGATATTAGATGACTCCAGAAGCAAGGAAGAGGATCCTTTTTCAGATGTCTTCTGGGATAGGTGGGGGTGTTATCTGGGGTTGAGACCCAGGTACAGTGGGCAGAAGGCTGCCTGGGCGAAGGCAGGCAGTAGACTGGGGGGACGACAGGGAGGGGCCCTGCAGGTACAGGCTCAGTGTTTTGTGAATAGTCCCCAGGAGCCTTCACTCAAAAGCCACTTGTTGGAAGTTTCCACTGGGCCTCCAGGATCTGGGAGATGGGGGGTTGGGCTGTCATTCTCCCATCTAGAAGCATGGCTAGAGCAACCTCTGTGCACAGTAGGAAGAAGGCCTGAGACCTTTGCGGTGGTGGTTTTTCACATGCTCTGAGTCCAGAGCTTCAGTGGGTGGTTGGAGTGGCTGGGACTGGGGCAAACTATTCTCCAAGAGCCAGGCTTTCTGTGGACAAGCTGAGCATTCCAGAGCTAAGGGGCTACCCTTCTGTGACTGACCCCAGGGAGGCCCTGGCCCAAGATGAGGCTGGTAGTTGACTTTCCTGTACCCCAGGCTGGAGCTGGAGGCTAGCCTTCAAGGTGAGGGTGCTGGCCTAGCACTGCTCCTGCAGCTTTCTAGGTCTCCTACCAAGAGACTCCTGGTACCCAAGCTCTTGGTTCTGCCTGTGATGCTGGCTTGAGTCTGCCTTGGGAAGTAGAAGAGAGGTGAGCGAGGCCTGATCAGGGCAGCTTGGCACCTGAGGCAATGCTTGTTGACAGGCTCAGTCATGAGAAACTGAGGCCACCTGTGATTTTTCTTTTCCTTTTTTTTTTTTTTTAAGAGGCATGCATTATTTATTTACTTATTTATACAAGCACTGGGTACAGTCAGAAGTGCGGGAGGGTGAGAGAATTCACCAGAGCCAGAGCGGGGAGCAGAGCAGGCAGAGGGACCGAAGCACACTGCTGAGGGGAGCAGCAGGCGGCAGGAGAGGTCTGCGCACCATGTGGGACCCTCCTCCGGTGGCCGGGGAGCAGCCGGGGATCGAACCGGCGCCGCAGAGGCTGTGGGGAGCATCGCAACCCAGAGCTCAACCGCTGCACCACCGGGGAGGCCCCACTTTCCTTTTTTTAAAAGCTTTTTAAAACATTTTTATTAATTTTTTAAAAGATTTATTTATTCATGCATACAAGTACCGGGGTACAGGCCAGATGTGCGGGAGGGTGAGAGGATTCATCAGAGGCAGAGCAGGGAGCAGAACAGGCAGACTGAAATACACTGCTGAGGGGAGCAGCGGGAGAGACAGGAGAGGTCTGCCGTGCTATGTGGGATTCTCGCCAGCCGGCTGGGATCGAACCCACGTTGCAGAGGCTGCAGACAGCTTCATAGCGCTGCGCTCAACCACCTGCACCACCAGGGGAGGCCCCTGTGATTTTTCTTTATTCCCTGGATTAGCCAAGGTCATTCATGGGTCACTCATCTCTAAATACTTAAGTGTGTATCTCTAAAATATAAGGACAATTCCATTATCTAACAAGACCAGTTCTTCCAGTTCAATATCATATAATATCCAGTCCCATTCACATCACCTAATTATCTCCCAAATATCTTTTTGGCTAAGTAGTGAGAAACCCCTCACCCTATTTATTTTTCTTCCTGCAACTGATGTGAAAAACGAGGTCATTTGTCCCATGGAGCATCCTGCCTTTTTTTTTTTTTTTTTTTTTTTTTTTATAGAGGCATGTTTTATTTGTTTGTTTGTTTTTTTGTTCGTTCGTTTATACATGCACTGGGTACAGTCAGAAGCGTGGGAGGGTGAGAGAATTCACCAGAGCCAGAGCAGGGAGCAGAGCAGGCAGAAGGACCGAAGTACACTGCTGAGGGGAGCAGCGGGCGGCAGGAGAGGTCTGCGCGCCATGTGGGACCCTCCTCCGGTGGTTGGGGAGCAGCCGGGGATCGAACCGGCGCGGCAGAGGCCGCGGGCAGCTTCGCAACCCAGCGCTCAACCACTGCGCCACCGGGGAAGCCCGCATCCTGCCTTTTTGATCTCCGTGTGTTAGTCTAGAACAGCGGTTGGCAGACTTTTTCTGTGAAGGGCCAGATTGTAAATATTTTAGACTTTGCAGATGCTGTTGCAACTACACAAAGTAGGTTTGCTTTAGTGCAAAAGCATCCATAGGCAACTTGTAAACCAATGGCGGGGGGGGGGGGGGGGGGTGTTCAATAAAATTTTATTTACATAAAGCAGGTGGCGGCCCCACAGGCTGTTGTTTGCCCATCCTCTGTCTAGAACAACTTACTTTTATTTTTCTACTTGCAGTTTGAAGGGGGAAAAAAAAAAACAGGTCAGTTGGCCTATAGAATCACCTGTCTTCTGGGCTCCTCTCATTCCCTTCTTGAGGAGGCATTTCATATGTCCCACTAACCTCTGTTTTTAGTAAGTGGGAGGTTGGAACTAGAGGCTTGATTAGATCCAGGTTAGACATTTTGGGCACGACTCCCTTGTCACGGAGGCTGTGACTTCAATGCTGCATGTCAGGCTGCCCCACTGTGACCAAGGGGAGATCGACAGGCTGTGTGTGACAGCCTGATATCCTGTCCCTCCACTGAAACTTGTGTTATTCCCCCTGAGAGCCCCAGCTCAGCTGTCAGTGGCACTTGAGCACCTGCGAGCATCCCTTCCTGGTTAGTATCTGCTTACTCATTGCTTTCAACGTTTGTCTCTTGGGGTTGCAGAATTACGTCACATTTGGTAATTCCTTTGTTATTTGTTAGTGAGAATTCTGTAAGGAAGAGCTTTCCTTTAACCACTAGGGTGATTTAGCTACAGGAAAGGCCAAGAGACAGGCTAAAAGATTTCTCTTTGTTGCCAATTTTCAGAGTAAGGAGTGAGGGCATTGCCACCGTCAGCGGTGACAAATGAAGACTTGGCTTTGTTTGTTTGGCTTTCTTTCCTCATTTATAGTCTCTAAGTATTCCATCTGTTTCTGGCAGGTGCACTTATCCTTTCTGATGCTTAGAAATTGTCCCAGCTCAGCCCATCAGAGGCCAGGCTGCTCAAGTAGGCTTCCTCCCTCTGCCTCGCCCTGAGGCTCCCCAAAGTCTGAATGGTGGGTTCGGAGGCGGGCACACCCCTCTGCAGGCATATGTTCTGTAAACGCTCCCGACTGACCACCAGGAGGCAATGCACCAAACATCTCTTCATCTCTCCTGGGCCCATTGCTCCCTCTCCAAGCATACTGTTACTCTGCCCCCACCCAGCTGCACTGGGTGTGTCACCAGACAAGGCAGCCTCTGCAACAGGAGAGCGCAGCCTGTGTGTCTGGGCTCAGCCAGCCCTTGGCCCAGAACTGACCCCTGGAAAGTGTCCGTGAATTCTTCTCCCCTTCCAGGCTGCCCTTCCTGCCAGCCTCAGGTGGGCTGGACACAGGTGTCCCACGCTGGCAGCTTGGCACCCAAAGCCACAGCTCAGCACATTTGACAGGACCTGGCTCAACAGGGTCAGGCAGGGGCAAGGGATCCTGGTGAATGTGGGGTGTGAGTGGAGCAGCGCGGACGGAAGCCCCCTGTGTTAGAGGGCACAGGCACCAGTTGGCCTGCTGAGAGCAGTGGGGTTAGGTCCTTTCTGAAGGGAGGTCCTCTGCTCTCCCCTAGCCCTGGGCTCATGGGTGGCCCTGACCCCTCCTCTCCCCCTGCTTCCTCAGGCTCCTGCTGGTGTCCCTGGAGCATGGGAGGCTGCTGAGCTGAGGGCAGTGTCTGGCAGATGCTGCATGTCTCACCCTGTGGCGGGGAGGGCGTCCATGGCTGCAGCCAACAAGGGTGAGTGCCAGTGGGCCCTGGCGGGAGGGCACCATTGTATATGGGGCGTGTGTGTGTATGTGTGTGTGTGAATATGTCAATGTTTGTGCTATATCCCGGGGCTCACTCAAGCCCTGGCAGGGAACCTGGGGGCCCCGCTGACTCCTTGTGTGATGATCTTGGAAGTGTGCACCCTTGTGTCCCCATGTTTCAGCCTTCCTGTTTACTGTAGTGGTTGGAGTGTGTGAAGGGCTTGGGGAGAAGGCTGGTGAAGTGGGTAGGGCCACAGCAGGCTGTGCCAGGAAACTTGGGTTTCATTCTGAGACCAGAAGTGCTCAGAAGATTTTGGGCAAAGGAGGCTTGGTGAGATTTGAGGGTCAGGTCTGTGGGGCTGCGCCTCCACTGAGTGTCTAGGCAGCAAGGCCCTCCCATCAAAGGCTTCTTGGGAGGGTTCTTGGAGGTTTAGGGGTTGTGAGGGTCAGAAAGGCCTGGGGTCACTTTCGGCAAAGATGGGCTTCTCCCAGGCTTGCTTCCCCCCAGCCCAGGCCCTAGGCCAGATCCTGCTACTCTTTCTATCTCAACCTCCTACTTTTCTGGCCTTGGAGAACTCATCCCAGCTGGGCACAGCGGAAGGCCTTGAGGCAGAGGTGGGAAAGACATCTCTGGGAGGGGTCTGGAAGGTGTGTTTCTCCCACCACTAGGCAGGCCCTATGGACCTGTTCCTGCCTCTCCTCCCCACCCTTCCACTCCCTTCCAGGTTGGAAGGGAGGTAGAGGGGGAGGTAGAGGCCTCGGACACTGGCAGACCTAGAATGGAAGGCCCCAGAGAAGGGGACCTTGGCAAGTGAGGGCGAGCACAGTCTAGATGCCTTGGACTGAGACCTGCACTGCCTGGTGCTTGGTGAGGGCCTGGGAACCTGTCTCTTCCTGTCTCTGGCATGACCTCATCTCAGAGTGATGATGTCAGCCAATCCTCAAATCCTCTCTTACTCCCTCTCTGGGTGGGTGATCTTGATGGGAGATTGGGCAGGGAGAAGGCCTCAAGCCTCCTGACCTCCAGTGTCCAGTAAGCTGTAGCCTAGCCCTGAAAGGAGCCCAGCCAGTGGGTGCTGGGTGATGTCAAGGGCAGTTGCAGGGAGATGGGGAGATGACAAAAGGCAGTAGTTTTCTGGAGCTCCTACAGCTCTGGGGCCCTCTCCCACCCTTCTAGGCACCAAGCCCAGAGTCCGGAGCATCCACTTTGCGGCTGACCACGATGCAGAAGGCTCCCAGGGCCACGTTCGCTTTGATGAGAAGTTGCATGACTCAGTGGTAATGGTCACCCAGGAGAGCAACAGCAGCTTTTTGGTCAAGGTACACAAGCCCCCATCACCAGCCTTTCTCTCCACTTCCTTTCTGGCTCTATCTGGCTTCCTGGGTCTGTCTGTTCATTTCCTCTAAGTGGGGTTCATAGACACCTCCCACCCTGGGCCTTAGTTTCCTCATCTAAGTGAGGTGGTGGTGAAATGGCAGTGGGAGGAGTGCATTTTAGAACTTTTTTTCAAATAGGTGGGAGGAGCCGTTTTTATCCACGTCATCCCCACGCAGCAGTGGAAGGCGGGGTCAAGGCTGTGGTGCAAAGGCCTGGGTTCAACTACAAGCCTGTTATTCTGTCTCTGTGACCTTGGGCAAATTGTCTCCTCCTCCCTGCAGTGAGGACAATTCACACCTCATAGAGTTGGTGTGAGAGTGAAATGGTGTGAGGCCAATTGTGCTGCTAACAAGGTGTGACTTTTTTATCCTTCTTTGCCAAGCCTCTGGCTGATTTAGAGTCCTGGCAGTAGGATTTAGTATCTCTTCCATGTTGCCTGCTTGGTGGAGCACCCTCTCTCCTAGTGGTCACACTTCAGACCTCCCAGTGTGCGCCTCCAACTGCTGGGACATGGTGGGATCCCTGTCCACTTGGGAGAAGCAGGAGGAAGTCTCTGGAGAGATGGACTAGGGCAGTGGAGTGAGGCCCTCAGGTTGGACAATAAACTAGGGCTCCAGAGTTGAGCAGGAGTGCCAGGCCTGAAGTGTCTGGTCCATTGAGACTACGCTGAGGGAGAACCCTGTAGCCCCACTCAGAAAAGGGCCCAGATTCATACCCATTTCTGCCCAACTCAGAGATCCCTGGTCCTTTTCCTACAGCTTGCAACTTCCCCAGGGGAATTAACAGAATGAACCAAAACTTTTAAAAATAGCTGCATCTTCCTCCCCTCCCCATTGCAATATCCACTCATGTCTATTAGAGGAAATTTGGAAGATAGAGAAAAATACAAAGAAACTTAAACGTAGCCACAATCACACTATCTAGAAATAACCATGGTTAATATTCTGATATGTGTCACTCCAGGTTTTTTTTTTAAGCTTTGTTTCCAAAAACAAAAAGCTGGCATCACAGTGTACATGCTACTTTTTGTTTGCCTCTGTTGTGAACCATCTCCTGCCTGTGTTAGTAAATAATCCTCCACAAAATTTTACAACTGCCTGGTATTCCATTATGTGTCTCAACTTTGATTTAGTTGGTTCCCTATTCCTGGTGTTACGGTTGTTTTTATTCTCACTGTTATAAATAGGGCAGTCATGGGTTCTTTTTTGCATGTCTGAGTATTTCCCTGGGAAAATTCGGTATGTGGTGCAGCTGGGTCAGAGGGTGACAGTTGGCAGGAACAGTCAGAAGCTCTCTCAAGAGGTGTGCCCTCCACCAGCAGAGTTTGGGGCCACGTGGACTGACCTTTAGCCCACAGTGATATCACCCTGATTGCAACGAAAGGCTGAATGCTATTCACAGCATCCCAGCTGGGCCCCAGGGACAGGGCCATCCAGCCCCTGCAACTGTGAGCAGGAGTGCTGGGGACAGCTCGCACCTCTAGGCCTCCAAGACAGTGATCAGCCTACCTGCTCCGCAGCCACCCTAGCTTGTGACCCTCCACACCACTAGTTTCCATGGATGGCATCAGTCCTGCAGGGTGTCAGTTGCCAAGCACTGTGTATGAACAACAGAAATCGCTTGGGTTGTGAGCTGGGCCATGGGGCACAGTGGGTCTTTGTGGGCAGGTGGGCATCTGTGTTCATGTGCCGGCTGATACCAGGCCTATGGGCTACTCTGGACTGACACAGCTGGCCTTGTGGCTGTTTTTCTAATCCTATCCTACCCTTCATCCTGTGCTGCCCACGTTGCCTAGTGAGAGTGACCAGAGCAGCAGCATCACTGACCCCAGGCTGTTGGCCCTGGGCAGGTGCTGGAGGATGTGTTGTAGGGCCTTGGGCCTCATCTTGTGGGCAGAGGCTCGTGCCTCTGGCAGTGTGCTGCTCACAGCAGGGACGGCCAAGTGGTCCAGGGAAGACTCTGGCCAGTATTTTAAGATCTCTAGCCAATCTCTTGACTTCCATTAACTTGTTTATTAAATGTGCCAACAAGGAGCCATGGCCCCCGCGAGACAGATGCTAAGAAGTGCGCTGGCTGAGCAGTGGGCACAAAGTCCTCAGGGGAACCAGCTGGAGCTACTGGGGTGGGGGTGGGGGGACCAGCTGGAGCAGGAGAGGGAGTTAAGCTCCCTTAGGATCACCAGGAAAACAGGCACAGGGACCCTAGACCCTAGGTGGCATACCTGGGCAGACCCTGGGGGAGGCTGTAAATGAAGGCGCCTCCTCCCCCCACCCCCTATTGCAGGTTGGCTTCCTGAAGACCCTACACAGGTATGAGATTACCTTCACTCTACCCCCGGTGCACAGGCTGAGCAAGGACATCCGAGAGGCACCTGTCCCCAGCATACATCTCAAGCTCCTCAGCATCATGCCCATCCCAGAAGGTGGGTTCCCTGCTTAGGCTTCTGGAGACCTGTCCTCCAGCAGGGTCTGGGGGTGAGTGGGAGTGAGAGATGGGGTTCTCCCCCCTTAACCCCCTATCTAGGGTGCCTGGGCAACTCAGCAAGTTGGAAAACATACCTCTTCGTGGGCTTGCAGTGGGTGGGGCAGCTTGGCAGGCCTCCCCCTGGGCTGATGCCCATGGGCTCGTACACTGGGCTGTGTTGGCCATCCTGAGAGCACCTCAGTCCTCCCTCCCTCTGCCCCACAAGCAAATCCTGCTAAAGCCTCAGGAACTTTGGGTACTAACTCCTAGCCCCAGCCAGTCCTCACTGAGCTTCAGGCTGCTTCAGGCTCCTCCCCCTCCCCCTTTGCACCCTGCCAGCCTGGCAGAGGCAAAGGTGTCTGTTTTGAGGCTTGCTAAAGCCCCAGCTTGTTTCATGCCCTCCGACCTTCTCATGACCTTGCTCTTACGTAGATTAAGGGAGTCCCCGTGGACCTTTGCCTCCTGCTACCTGATTTCTCAAGGCTGTCCTGTAGCTGCCCCGCCCGCTCCCCAGCCCCATCCCCTCCTCTCCCTGCTGTCCTTTTTGGGAAATCCGAAAAGCCTGAGTTGGAGCCTTGGACCTTAACGAGATGGCCCTCAGGCTGGAGGTTCCTGAGGGCTGTGTGCCCAGCACTGGGCATGGGGGTGGGTCTTGGGCCATCCGTGCTCCTTGGCAGGAGGCAGCCAGTCTTGGTAATGGGTGGAGGTCAGTGGGTGCTGGGGGGCACAAGGCCACGGAGATGCTGATCCCCCAAGCAGGTTACAGCGTCAAGTGTGAGTACTTAGCACACAAGGAGGGCGTCCTTAAGGAGGAGATGCTGCTCGCCTGCGAAGGTGGCACCGGCACCTGCGTGCGCGTGATGGTGCAGGCACGCGTTATGGGTGAGAGCACAAGGCGTGGGTCTGGCAGGAGGGAGGCCGTTTGGCCACAGAGGGTTTCTGTCCTCCCAGAAGCCCGTCTGTAAAGACAACCCTTGCTCTGGCCTGGGGTTCCCAATCTTCTTGGTCGGTGCCTTTCTCCCCACCCCCAACAGAGTCCAGCGGGGAGGGCTAGAGTTCCCCTTGGTGTGGGTCGGGGCCCGGATCCAGCCAAGCATACGGACCTGTCACCGCCTTGCAGACAGGCACCACGGCACACCCATGCTGCTGGACGGTGTCAAGTGTGTGGGCGCTGAGCTAGAATACGACTCGGAGCACAGCGACTGGCACGGCTTTGACTGAGGCCCACGCCCCCGCCCGCCTTGGGGCCCCTCAGCCTTAAACCCTGCCTCGTCTCCTCACGATGGCTACCTGCTGGTGTGGTTTCCTCCCCCTCCCTGGGGCAGGTGTGGGGATGGAGTGTCCAGGAGCCTCCAAGCCAGGGCCTCGCCCACACCTCACCTCTGCCTTCTTTTGTGCCACCCCCCGTGCCTCTCCGTGTGCCTCAGTCTCCTGCCTGAAGAAATGGGTTGAGCCCCAAGGAGGCTATCTGAAGAAGGTGGGGGAGGAGGGCAGGCCCACCCCAAGCCATAGGGGCTCCAGCCAGGGCCTGTGAGAGGAGGGAGCTGGCTGTGAGGTTGCTGCCCCCATCACTGCTGCTGCTGTCTCGCTTTGGCCACCTCTTCTGCCCCCTCCCTCTTTCCCATGCTGCCCACGGTGAGTAGGAAGGAGGTGCCGTCCCCTGCCCCACCCCTCAGGTCTGTGTTACTTGGTTTTTAAATGACTGGTTAGGATAAACCCTAAAGAAATAAAACGTTGAGTGGCTATCAGAGGCCAGTGGGATTTTTGTTCTCTGGGGCCCCGAAAAGGCCAAACTTTCACAGATGGACCAAGGACGTTTTGGCTAAACTTCTGGGAGACAAGGGCGCTGAGTGGTATTACCACGCTTAACCCCAAAAGAGGTCTGCATGGGTGATGGCATTCTGGGCCTGGGTACAGCTGTGACACAGAGTTTGGATGGGGAGGGGCCTTCTCTCACACCAAAGAAAGGCCTTCCTTTGGGATGCCCGATGGGGAGACAGCAGCACCCCCTTCTGGTCAGTTCCCAGCCCTCTGCACAACTGCAAGTTTTCAGGCCTTCGCTACTCACTACTGGGGTTCCCTCTTGTGAGTTACCACAGGCCACAATACTTCACCTAGAGCATAAATGCTTTATTGTCACTTTAGGGTTCTCAGGGAGGTGGGGCTGCTGCACGTGGAGGCTGGGCAGGGAACTTGCCAAGGGCACACCCAGTTGACAGCAGAGCTGGGCCAGCCCTCAGCCCTCCCTGCAGCCTCGCCCCCCTCCCCCTCGGGTGGCTGGGATAAGGTGCAAATGGGGCGTTTATAGGTTGCTCTTGGGGCCTTCCCAGATGGCCATCTGTCCTGAAGGAGGCCCCCACCCCCACGTGCTACCGCCACATCCCTTCTGGCCGCCACATCCCTTCTGGCCGTCACCCTGTAGCCACCTCGGCCTGCTACTGCCCTTTTTACAATGAACAGCCCCTACGGGGGTGGTGGGCACCACACCCAGGAAGGCGCCGCCACCATTCCTCCGGGGTCAGCCTCCAGCCCTTTCTCGGCTCCGGGCACGGGGCCGCCCCGCCCCACCTCGGGCCTGAGCCTCCCGGTCAGCGCTCTCGGGCGAGCGTCCCTCCTCCCGCCGCCGCGGCCGCGCCCCGCTCGGGCCTCCCACTGCCGCCCCCACCCGCCCCCGCCTCAGCTGAGCTGTCTCGGGCCCCGCGCCCCGTGGGCGCGCCGTCTCCCCGCCCGCGGTCCTCGGCGGGGCCCCACGGCCCACACAGCCGGAGCGTCCGCGCCCACCCTCCCGACCTGGCGTTCCGGGCTAGAGGGCGGGGAAAGGGGCGCCGGCCTCGGATTCCCCCGTCCGGCGCGCCCCCCGGACTCGGGGGGCCGGGCCGGCCGAGGGGCTGACGCCGCGGCGCGCGCCCTCAGTTGGAAAGAAAGTCGATGGTGGCGCGCACCGAGCGGTTGGTGCTCACGTCCACGGCGGTCACCTTAATCTCGGTGTCGCCGAACTGCATGGCGGCGCGGATCTCCCGGCGCCCGGGGGGCGCGCCCGCGCTCTCGGGGCCCCCCTCGGCCGGCTGCAGCTCGAGGCTGAGCGCGCCGCACTTGCGCACGCCCGGGTCGGTGATGAAGCGCGCGTCCTCGGCGGCGCAGCAGTACAGGTTGATGAGCACGCGCCGCTGGCCGGGGCGCGCGGGGCAGTAGCTGCGCCGCACCTCCTCGCCCAGGGCCACCGACTGCTCGGCCGCCACGAAGCGCTCGAAGACGTCGGTGCACCAGCGGCGGCCGTCGCGCACCAGCAGCTTGTCCGGCGGGTGGCGCCCGGCCACGAAGCGGTTGAGCACGCCCACGCCGTAGGTGAGCGGCGAGCGGCGCACCCGCACCACGCCCGGGGCCTGCCCGAAGAGCACGGCGCCCTTGAGGATGGTCAGGCCCACGTCGTGCGGGACCACCACGCGCAGGCCGCGGGCGCCCAGGGCCGCCTGCACCGCGTGCTGCAGCACCGCCGACTCAGCGAAGCCGCCCACCAGGAACAGCAGCTTCACACCCTGCACCTCCGGCCTCTCTAGCAGAGCCTCTGCGGGAGGGGGGGGTAGGGGGTACGGAGGGGCGGGGAGGGGAGAGAGCACCGGCCGCTGAGACCACTCCTCCACGGCCCGTGCCCGCCTGGCAACTATAAACTAGCCGATTCGTTGGCAAAACCACAGCCGGGTCCAATGAAGACACTGAGTACTTTCATTGAGGGCTCCTGGCACACTTCACGGGCTCTGCCTTCCCGGTATTTACACACACTCCCTTCCCTCCCATCACGACGTGGAGGGCCTGAGATAAAGCTCTACATTTGTAGATATTAAGCGCTCACTACCATGCAAGTCATTGTGCCCACTCCCTAGATACTCAAGCTCATTAAAATCCTTGACCTTGATGAGTTGGCAACCCAGTACTATCACCCCATTTTAGACACAAGGAACTGAGGCACCAGAGCTTCTTTAACTTAAGATTACACATCATCAGGCCTCCCTGTTGGTGCAGGGGTTAAAGGCAGTGCTATCAAGCTATTAGCAGTGGCCTATTGTAGCATGAATTGGATCCCCGGCCAGGGAGCTGACCCATGTGGCACAGCAGACCTCTCCTGTCTTGCCCACTGCTCCCCTCAGCAGTGTATTTCGATAGATCCACCTGTTCTGTTCCCCACTCTGTCTCTGGTGAATCCTCTCACCCTCCCACCTCTGCACCTCTGGCCTACACCCCAGGCCATACACCCTTGTATGCATAAATAAATTTTAAAAAATTACACATCCCCCCTCCCAGCTCTTAATCACCACTGCACTGCACTGCATCCTCCAGGTTCCGGACAATTCAGGGTCACTTTCCCATGTGAGGATATGTAATTTCCAAGCACTAATAGGAGAAATTATTCCTGCATCTGGGTGTGTATGTGGGGGTGAATGGAGGACCCAAGCTCAGGGACTCACCTATGTGCTGAATGATCCCGTTGACGGTGGGCTGAAAGAGCTCGTTCATGGCCTCACTAGTCATCCTGAGCATCCCCTGGGAGGACCACTTCACATAATTCACGCTGTAAGTGTAGGGGGGCAGAGGCCCAGGTGTCAGGGACCTACCCCTGCCTCCAGGGCTGCATATTGGGTGTGATCCCAGCCCCCCTGCAGGGGCCTGAGCCGCTGGCCTGCTTCAGTTCCAGGCGGGAGTCCCAAGGGAGAAGCCCTTTGTCTCCAGGCAGGAGCCAAGAGCATTGGTTGGCATAGTTGCATTGTGTGTGCGGGACAGAGAGGTGTTGGTCCTTCCCCAGGGGCCTGCCTGGGCTTCAGATTCCAGCCGCAGTGCTCATGGGCCTCCCCCTGCCATCGGCCTCCCCCTGCCATCGGGTCTGGCAGTGTGAGCCCAGAGGGGTGGTGGATGAGGTTGGGGATGGATCAGGTGAATAACCTCGACCCCTTGGGGCCCACTCCCTCCCTTGCAGAGGCATTCCCCATCAGCAAACTGGCACATGGAGGTCCCCAGCCCCACCTGCTCCTGCGCAGGGCCGTCTCCACGTTGTGGCCTCGCTGCTTGCGGTAGAAGTCGATGAAGGAGAAGGGCAGAGAGATGTTGAGCCCCCCCACGCGGTGTGGGGCTGCCGTGCGTTTGCGGGCCTCGAAGGCGATAGTCAGATCCACCCAGGCTGCTGGCCGTTGCCTCTTGAAAGTGGCAATGAAATCCTCCCCGAAGATGCGGCCCAGCAGCTGCTCGAAGGCCAGGTCCACCCCCACAGCACCATAGGGGCCACCTGGGTGGGAGGGTGCGAAGGGGGAAGTCAGCACCAAACCTGCGGCCAGGGGACGTCCACGAGGCCAGGGCACGCTGGTTACCCGCAGCCTTGCCCACTACTCACCAGATGCCTTGTAGAGTTCCTTGAGGGTGCCATGGGGCTGCTCCAGCTGGTGCACTGTCAGGTCCACTGTGCCTCCCCCACAGTCTGCCACCATGTAGCGGTCTCCTAGGCGGTGAGTGTGAGTACACCAGTTGCCTGCCTGGCACTTTCAGCCTGTGCCCCCTCAGACTCACCCAGCCTCCAGCCCTGCCCCAGGTCCCAGCTGCCTGCCTGCCAGGGTGTGGGGTGAGGCGCTTCAGGCTTCAGCCCAGGCCACTGGGTGAATGTGGGGGAAAATGGTTCCAGCGGGCTCTGCAATTCCCTCTGTGGAGAATCCCCAGGAGGAAAGGGCGGCAGGACATCGGCTACGAGTGAGTGGCAGCGCAGGTGACGGTGAAGGTACCGCTACATGCGGTGGGTGGAGGAGGGGACCAGTTTTCTAGGGGCTGGTACCGGTTTCAACATCCCCTTCCCCGGGATCAGTATACGGTGTCCCGCAAGGTCCAAGAAATATCCCTCCATCTCTGACTGCCCACCTGCTTGCATCTCTGCCCACAGCTCTCCGACACCTGACTCCACCAGGAATGTACGGCTGTGGCGGGACCTTCGCAGCTGTTCTCGCGCTGGGGGGCACAGCAGGACAATCAGGTTAGAAGGAGGTGCCTCAGCTACCACGTTCAACCCCCACCCCCTGCCAATGCCCTCTGTGAGCACCTGGAGTTGCCAGTGTTCCTGAAACTTCTGCTCCACTTCTAATTGGAGAGAGCAATGCTGAACCCCAAAGGCTCCAAAGAAACTATAGGAGGTAATCTCAGGTGCTAGAGGAGGTATTTCTGGCTCAGGTCAGGGCAAAATCAGGTCAGGAGGGTCTGGAGCTGTGTGTGTGTGTGTGTGTGTGTGTGTGTGTGTGTGTGTTTCTAGGGGGATCTGGCGGAGCTTGGGACTTGGCACTTCTCCCTGTTGTGGAGATGGCATCTGGATGGGTGACCGAAGTTGATCATAGCTGTTTCAGTGCCTGGACTGACTGAGGCAGGTGCTTAGGGCTGATTGAGGGGACAGCTGATGTGCCAGGAGGGGGGGGTCAGCTGATCCAGTGGCTGTTTAAGGAAAGTTCCTCAAGCTGCCACCTTGGGCTGAGTGGGGACTGACTCCCACCTTTGTCCATACCAAGCACCTCCACTTAGGCTGGGCTGTGTCTTCTGCTCTCCACTCCCACTCAGGGCTCCCCACCTCAGAGAGTGCTCCCTGGGGCAGGGTGACATCTCTGCCCTCAGTCTGGGTTCCCCCAGGTTAGGGGCTCCTCCCTCACACTGAACTCCACCAGGGATATTTCTGCCCTCTCAGATTGGGTTCCTGCAGGGTTAGGGGTGCTTGCCTTTATGCTGGGTGTAGCTAAGCCGGTGACCTCAGTGACACTTTGACCTTCCAGGGTAACTGCCTCCAAGCCCAACAGTGGGCACCCCCGGGGGTGGCTCACCCTGGCGGAAGCTGGAGTCGATGGAGCGACGCTCACCCAGGCGCCCGTGACCCGGGGCCCGGGTGCTCAAGTCCAGGAGCTGGTGCAGGCGCAGCTTTCGGCAGTAGACAGAGGCAGCCTCGGGCTCCAGGGCGATGAGTAGTTGCTCTGCATCTTCTCTTGACACCAGGCCAGCCTGAAGATGGCGGGCAGGACCAGGGGGCAGCATGAGCTATCACACCTAAGAGGGCACCCAAGGGCAGGGATCCGGGGCCTGTGGGGCTCCTACCTCCTCCCCAAAACACCCCACCGTGCAAAGCCTCCTAGGCCCCTCTATGCTACACAAATTTGAAGCTGCTTCAGCCACCCTGTGACCAGGTACACAGTCATGGCCAGGGACACCATAAGTTGCCCAGGAGGAAGAGACTTCAGAGTGAAAACCTAGAGTGTCTGGGATCTGCCCTCCTGAGCTGCCCAAGGGGCTACAGCAAGGTCCCCTTCATGGGTTTGGGGCTGCCAGCTGAGCACTGGCTGGAACTTCAGTGCTGCACACGCGTGTGCATGTGTGTGCGTGTGTAATAGCTAGGCCACTAATCAGAGGAGAGATGCCGGATCCCCTCTGCCTTACTGAACCCTCTTCCTCCACCAGACAGGTGTCAGACAGTGGCCACAGACTTCCCCTCACAGGAGAACTCTGTTGCAGGGAATGTGATATCCAAGGAAGGAAATGTATCAGTAAAATTCCAGGCACCAAGACAGGCCAGTTGGGGGAGAAAAACTCTTGGGAGCTGTTAACTTCCTGCATCAGGATAGGGGATCCACATGGGAAATACTACATGGTTTCGTGGGATTCCCCAGATTCTGACCAGATGGGGGATGGGGAGGGGATGGGCATGGAGACTTCCTGCCCAGGGCCAGCCCTTCCTGAGCTGGCAGCCAGGGAACAGCGTGGGAGGAAGTTGAGTGGGTAAACTGGCAGGGGGCACTAGGGGGCAGTACTGTTTGTTCTGACTGGGTCCGCTTTCATCCTGGTCTCTGCAGGGGAGTTGCCCACTCTGTTCAGGATTAGCTCCTTCCAGTGACAAGTGAAGGGACTGGGGCATGCCTGGCTCACAGGTGTATGTGTGTGTGTGGGGGGCCCTGATGTCCTCCCACAGGGCCCAGAGATCCCTTGTGGAGGTCCTAGGGTCTTCCCAAAGGCCCCAGGGGCAAGGCCAAACAATGAGTTTTTCTCTGGTAGTCTGCATCCACCACCCAGCCCCTGTCCATCTCCACTGGAGAGGGAGGTGCCCGTGATGCCCACTCCTTTCTCTAGACCTTTAGGCATCTCTAATGACAGGAAGATCAACAAACACTGTCCAAAATCACCCCCTTTCATAGTCTTATTTTTCTGCTCAAAAACCTACAGTGGTTGGGGCCATTGTGGTGGTGGGTTCTGGAAAATACTGATACCAGCTGAAGTGGTGTTTTGGTGCCCTGCCCAGCTATTGTGAGTGTTGGCTGCTACAGGCTCACAGCCTCCTCCTTTGCAGAAGTGCCCTCAGCTGAGTAGTGACTGCCCCACTTGCTGAGCGGCCCTCCCTGCCAGCAGTCATTGACAGACTGATACAGATGCACAAAAGGCCTGCCGCTTACCCCATCCTGCCAACTCCGGGGTACAATTCTCCCCCCAGAGCTCTCCATGAGATCAGGCGGAGGCTAGAGTCCAGCTGAGACCACATCCCCTTAGCTCTTTCTCTTGTCCTGCTTCCCACACTCCCCTTTCTCCTAATAGCCCTTCTTCAATCCACCACAAGCACAGGAATACAGATCCTAGGCTCTGCTTCTAGAAAACTTGACTTAGGACACTGCTAAGCTGGCCAAGGCTCGACCTCTTGTCCCTCTGTCCTCTTCCTGCAGGTTCTACAACCCCCCAAAATGCCCAGCAGGGGAAGGCCCGAGGCCTTCACACAGTGGCTCTGTGGTCCCAAGGGTGATGGGGTGAATGAAGGCATGGGTCTCCCCCTGTGCCTTCCAGAGCCACACCCGCTGCTCTGGCTGCCCATACTCACCAGGTAGGCAGCCTCCCGCATGAACTGCTTGGCCGGCTGTTTCCAGATGGCAGGCACCGTCAGCACCCAGCGCACAGCGTCCTTCCCCGGCAGCGATGGGCACTGCTCTCTCAGCTCCTGGGGCAGGAATGGGTGATGTGGGGAACAACTAGTTTGGGATGGGGGGGTGCCTTCAGCTCCATGGGAGCTGGAGGAACTAATCAAGTCTCAGGAAGGATTTCCCAACTGAGTTGAAAGAATCTGTGATTGCCCCCCTTTTTGCCCCCCAGTATACCATGTATGTCTTGGTGCAGGCCCTTCCAGATAGGAAGGGAAGGGACTGGGGCAGGTGACCTTTGACTTCTGACCATGGCTACCCATAGAATGAAAGGAGGTGGGATGAGAAGGTGGGTGGAGCAGAAAGGAGAGAGTATGGGGCGTCCCCCAGAAGGTAGGGATGGGCCACAGCGCACCTGAAGGGCGTGCTCCTTGAAGAAGTGCAGGGCATGGGCGAATATCTCCAGGGCAGGCATTTTCTTTCCATTTACAGCCTCTAGCTGGGTCTTCAAGGTGAGATCCTGGCAGGGACACAGGGCTGCTCTGCAGGAGGCCACAGCATTGCCCCCACGTCTTTCATAAAAGCACCTCATTTCTTGGTGTTTGAGCAACGCTCCATTGTATCAGTTCGGCTCCCAGCACCAGCCACCCCCTCCAGCCCCAACCCTTCGTAGCTCCGCCCCCGCCCCTGCGAGCTCCGCCCACAACCGGGGCAATCTCTCCTTTAGCCCCGCCCAGGCCCCGCCCAGGCCCCGCCCCGCCTACCTTCTCGTTTCCCACCCTCCTTTAGCCCCGCCCCCGCCCCGGTCCCGCCCAGCCGGCTGGAGCCCGCATGGGGCTTACAGTGGCGCTGTGAATCTTCATCTTGAACTTCTCGAAGTAGAGCCAGTCGCGTGCCTCCTCAGGGTCCAGATCGTGGTAGTAATCCCGGGCCGTGTAGCCAAAGCTGTGAAAGGCACCCTCCGGCGTCAGCAGCAAGCAGGTAGGGGTCTTCTGGTGGGCTACACCTGGGTCCCCGCCCTCCCATTTCCTGCGGGGACACAGTGCTGTCAGTGCGGTCAGCTGCACCCCTCGCCCCGTGGGGCTGGCCCTGCAGCTGGGACCAGCTGGCTCTGTGACCTTGTGCAGACCACTTAGCTTCCCAGCTTCTTCTTCCCGCCTGTAAAATGGAAGGAGTAATAGCACCTACCTCTAAGGGCTGTCGTGAAGATGGTGCTTGGTATCCACGTAAGTCTCCAGCAATGCTGCTCATGGGATCTTCCCCATCCATGGGGCCCCTGACATCCTCAGAACTACTGCCCTCCCGTGAGGTCACCAACCTTACCTCTCTGCACCCATAAAAGCAGCAGCAAGCCATCATCCATCTGCCTGGTCCAGTCTCCTGGTGTGTTTCTCCAGGACCCTAGCAGAGGCCTTTTTCCAGGCAGCCAAGCTCCTTTCAAGGCTTTTCAAGACCATTCCTATCTGATCCACCTTGGCACTACACCCCAGTTGACTACATTTCAGGCAGGGTCCCAAAACCTAAATGAGATTTCAAACTTCCCAATTCCAAAGGCACCATTGGAATCTCCTCCACCATCGGAATCTTCTACTTAGAACCCCTGCCCAGTTCATTAGCTTGGCATATCCTTCCCTTCCTCTGCCTTCTCTGATACCCTAACCCCTCTAGGCCAAGTTCACCACTACAGCCTTTTGGGGAAGAAGCTGAGAATCCGGCAGCAGGAACAGCATGTGCAAAGGCTCAGAGGTATGAAAGAGCAAGTAGAAGAGCCATTGGTTGGCTCCATATGCAGCAGGAGAAAACACAGTAATGTGAATGTTAGGTAAGGAAGAGCATCACCTGCCATATCAGAATTCTATCTTGTTGCATTTTAAATCAGAGAGTGAAGAGGTAGGACCACAATTGCTTTTAGAAAGATCACTAGTCCCCAGGTAGCAAAAGACTGGAGGCGAGGGAGGATGGAGAAGGAAAACCCGGGAGGAGCACATTGCAGCCATCTGGGGTGCAATGAGGGGGGCTGAACATCGGGGTGGTGGCCGTGGGGAGGGGTGGACGGATATTCCACAGATATTACGGAGACACAGAAATGACAGGGCTTGGTGGCTGGTAGGGGCTGACAGGGAGGGCTTGGGAAAAGGCCAGGATGTTCCTCAGTACTTCCTGTGATTACCACCTCCCCAGGTAGAGACAGTGTCCCTTTATGTGTCCTCGGCCCGAGCATGGGCCCAGCATGGCCTCAGCAGTATGCGCAGAGGAGTGTACTAGCTGGGATGCCCTGTAGCTCTGAGGGGGCCAGTGGTGCCCAGAGCCTTTGTGGCCTCATGCAGGGAAGAGAGTAAGGAGAGGATGGTCCAGGCTCACACAGGTCAAGTCCCTTCTAGCTTTGGGTCACTTAACTTCTGTGTGTCCCCCCAGCCATCGGGAAGCCGTTCTGACTACCCAAGCTAGAGACAGGGTTGGAGCTGTGTGTGGGGGGGGGGGGGGGGGGGGGGCGGGAGGGCGCAGGGCGGGGGTGTCTTCTATAGCGCCACCTACAGGCCACAGCCACACTAAACTACTTTCAAGAGATCAGGGTTTGCGGTCTGGAGGGGAGTGTCAAATATTTTGTTTAAACAAAACTTGGGGACATCAGAATGGATTTTTTTAACATCTGTCTGTGTGGCTTGTCAACTCAGTTAACCCTCTGATGCTTCATTCCCTTGTTTTTCATTTGAGATGGTGGACTTAGGAATCTGCCTCTAGGAATCTACCCCATAGAAATGCCAGCACAAGTACTCAAAGAAGGACATTCCTGCAGTGTGTTGTGTAACAGTGAAAAATCAGAGGAAAAAGAAAACTCTCAAACTATCAATAGCACAATGGATGCATTAGGACATCTATACTGTGGAATAATACTATGCAACAATTAAAAGAAAGTGGTGGCTCTCTATGTATTGACATGGCAATCTATAAAACAGTGTTGAAAGTTTAAAATAAGGCAAGAGGGGGCCTCCCCTGGTGGTGCAGCGGTTAAACGCTGGGCTGCGGGCAGCCTCGCAGCGCCGGTTCATTCCCTGGCCGCCGGCGAGTGTCCCACAAAAAAAAAATAATAAATAAGGCAAGTTATATGATATCATATATATGCGCACGTACGTGTGTATATGTATAATATATCCCAGAAAAAGACTTCTGTATGTTCCTATTATATTATATCTCAATAAAATAATTTAATTTTTGTTTTTTTTTTTTTTTTTTAAAGATTTATTTATTTATTTATACAAGCACTGGGTACAGTCAGAAGCGCAGGAGGGTGAGAGAATTCACCAGAGCCAGAGCGGGGAGCAGAGCAGGCAGAAGGACCAAGGTACACTGCTGAGGGGAGCAGTGGGCGGCAGAAGGGGTCTGCGCGCCGTGTGGGACCCTCCTCCGGTGGCCGGGGAGCAGCCGGGAATTGCTCCAGAGGCTGCGGGCAGCTTCGCAGCGGCTGCGCCACCGAGGCCCAAAGATCATTTATACAAGCACTGGTACAGTCAGAAGCGCGGGAGGGTGAGAGAATTCACCAGAGCCAGAGCAGGGAGCAGAGCAGGCAGAAGGACCGAAGTACACTGCTGAGGGGAGCAGCGGGCGCAGGAGAGGTCTGCGCGCCATGTGGACCCTCCTCCGGTGGCCGGGGAGCAGCCGGGGATCGAACTGGTGCTGCAGAGGCTGTAGGCAGCTTCGCAGCCCAGCGCTCAACCGCTGCACCACCTGGGAGGCCCTTGTTTTATTTTTTCAAGAAAAGGTTTTAAATTAAAAACAAAGCCCAACATTTCCGGGGGAGGACAGGGAGCTGCTCCCATTGAGGCTGGGGCCCAGGTCCCTGACCCATCCTTTGACCTTCTGCCCCATCAGGGAGCCCTCCCGCCAGATAGAGGTAGGAGTCTTGGTCCATCTTAGGGAATGAGGACCGCCCCCACTGCCGGCCCCCAAACATACACACTCTCCCAGTGCAGACAGCCTCACCTCATCATGTGGATGGCCTCAGGGTCGCTGGCAAAGCTGAAGGCATAGCCACTGGATGTGGTACCAAAGTCGATGGCTACCACCACGGAGAAAGGAGCCTGCTGGGGGGTTCGGGCCTCAGGCTTCTGCAAGGGCAAGATCTATGGTCAGGGAACAGCTCGCAGGGCAGGCTGCGGGAGCCCCTTCTGCTGGCTGTGGCTCAGCCCAGTCCACCCCACGCGCTGGCTGTCTGCTAGGCTGCCCCCATCCCCTCTTAGGCTAAGCCTGGAGATGCCAACTGTTCAGAAGGCCCAAGGCCTCTTGGGTAGCCCCATGCAGGTTTTGGCTCCAGCTCCCGCTTTCCTGCTCCTGCTTCTCTACCTACCGTCTGCCTAGACTGCCTCCGCCCCACCCACAAATCACTCCAATCGACTGCCTAGCACCAGCCAGCGTCCAGCTGGGAGCAATTGTGCGTCTTTTGCAGCTTCCTAGCACATGGACCTGCGTATACTTGACCCTTTCACTCTCTGCGGTCAGTGACATAACCAGACCCTGTCTGGCTCTGTGGCAGAGCAGAGAGGCCCAGGCACAAGCCCACAGTGGCCCCTGCTTTCTCCAGGTCAGGCCTGGGATCCCTGAGAACAAGAGGGTCAGCAGGTTGGATCTCTCGGATGAAGTTCATCCTAGGTGGGGTCACCCAAGGCTATGTTTTGGGTATTTCAAACTTACAGTTTCCAATTTTTTTTTTCTTTGGCAACACACCTCCTCTTCCACAGACAAATCTTATATTATGGGAGTCGACAGGAAGGGGAGCAACTCTGGAAAGTCCAGTGCTCCTAGAGCCTAGAAAAACTACTGGCTCAGCTGTACACTTGCCCCGGACAGGCCAGCTGCAATACTCCCTCCTGCCATCCTGGGGGAGGTTTCTGAGCATTGGTTACCTGAGCTCACCTCAGTAGAACTGTTACCTAGTTTGGGTGTTGGTTACCTCAACAGAACTGTCCTCCCTACTCTCCAGGGCCACCGACAGCTAACGCTTCCTGGGAAGCATGACCACAGGTGCAGGAGGAGGGGCATGGTGGTGCTCCTGCCCTGCCCAGGCCCTGCCAGGGGTCTGCCTGACAGCCGGCCTTGCTCTCTGGACCTACCACCACGTCACCCACAACTCTGATCCCTGCTCTGGGCTTACTGGAGATTGCGAAGGTGTGAGGGGGGCAATGCCACAGCTTTCCTGGGTCCTCGGGGAGCCGGGAGGGCTGGGTACTGGGGAGCGCTCTGGGCTGGAGCCTGGAAAGAGAGGACAAGTCACTCTGGCACAGCAGGGAGCTGGCGGCCAAGTCCCAGGTTGGCACTGGGAAGTTCCCCATCAACCCTTGCTCCATCAGGCAAGGGCACCCTGCTGGGGGGAGGGGCATGAGGGGAAAGAGAAGGAAGAGGGTGTTGGAAAGGGGTGGACTGAAGGTCAGTTGTCAGGAAGAGACAATCTATACCTGGAGGGTGACCCACGTCTCATCTGGGAACTCACGGTCTCGCCCCCAGCATCCCTCAGATACACTGGGGGAGGGGAGAGACAGAGAACCATTGTGGGGTGTGGGGGAGACTGAGTTCAGAGAAAGAAAAGCAGGAGAGATGGGGCCCGGTGAGTTCCTGGGGTGGGGGTGGGAGGCTGGAGAAACCAGAAAAGCTGGGGGAACCACAGCCTAACCTCATGGGAGGTGGGGCTGCTCCCCTCCCCTCTAAAATTCACTCACATGTTTTTTTTTTTTTAAAGAGGCATGTATTTTTATTTATTTATTTTAAAGATTTATTTATTTATACAAGCAGTGGGTACAGTCAGAAGTGCGGGAGGGTGAGAGAATTCACCAGAGCCAGAGCGGGGAGCAGAGCAGGCAGAAGGACCGAAGTACACTGCTGAGGGCAGCGGGCGGCAGGAGAGGTCTACATGCCATGCGGGAGCAGCAGGAAGGAGAAGTACACTGCTGAGGGGAGCAGCGGGCGGCAGGAGAGGTCTACATGCCATGCGGGACCCTCCTCCGGTGGCCGGGGGAGCAGCCGGGGATCGAACCGGTGCTGCAGAGGCTGCGGGCAGCTTCACAACCCAGCGCTCAACCGCTGCGCCACCGGGAGGCCCCACTCACATGTTTCTAATTAGGACCTGAGGGAGCTGACCCCTTCCCTCCTCCCAAGGGCCACAGACAGGCCCAGCTGGCTGTCTGGTAAGTATGGCGGGGAGAGAGGGCGGCACCTCCCCCAGCCCTGAGCAGAGGGGTGTCCACCACACTAGGAAACTGGATTCTGAGTTCCCCTCCCCCACAGCACACACACCTGGAGCCAACATTCGGGGGTCAGAGGCCCCCTGATACCCTCTCTAGGCACAGGACTGAGCAGGATCATTGGCGGAAGAAAGCAGGACAGCCCCAGAAGGCAGCCCAGGCCCGGCTGGAGGCTCAGGCAGCTCAGGTATAGGCTGGGTTCCAGTGACCACCCTGGTTTTTGCCTCTGCAGATTTTACTGGGGCTGCCCTGAGATTCAGCAGGAGACAGAATGGGGGCCAGCGTGAAGATCCATGAATAAATTGAACAGACCAATGGTTTCAGGCTGAGCCAGAACCGGGTCTATCATCCTCAGTAGCTGCCTTGTCCTGTGGCCCTACACAGGTCTAGTCCCCCAGGCCTGGGGGAACCCTGGAACATATGTGGGGATCGGGGCATTATGGGAGCTTTAGGAAGTGCTGGAGGAACAGGGGATGGTGGTCACATTCCCAGACAGCCAGTGCAGGCTTGGGCGCTGACTCCGGTTCCAGATTGAAGGGCCAAGCTGGTGTGGCTTGAGCCTGGGAAGGGAGGCAGGAAGGAAGGGCCCAGCCCGCCAGGTCTTTGTGAATGGACTTCCTGAGGAGTGTCCCTCCTGCCTCCTGGCCTCCCACCCCCGCAGAGAACCCAGAGCCTGCTCCCAGACCAGGCCACAGGCAGACACGCACACATGCGCACACACACATGCACACACGCACACACACGCATGTGTGCGCGTGCACACACACTCTCGTAGAGATCTCACCCACAGACAGACAACATGTACACAGAGGTTGTGCACACAGGGTCCTGTGCACACAGTCCCTCCCTGCACACCGATCACTTACACACACTCAGGAGGTTCTGTGAATGGCGGGGGGTGTCTTACCGATGTACAGTCCCTGCAGGCCCACCTCTGGGACAGCCAGCATCTTTGCAGGCCCTGCGGCTCTGAACGGGAACAGACAAGCAGAACAGCATTTATTTGTTCCTTTGTTCCCTCACTGAATGTTTATTTACTTACTTTTGGCTGGAGTCCTTTGAAGCAAATCCCAGACATTGTTGTTTCACCTATAAATTCTTCAGTCTGCCTCTCTAACACATAAAGCCTTAGAGAGCACTGCCAACACCGTCATCACGTTACCAGAACGAACCCTGATTCCTTCATCTCATCTAAGGTGCAAGTCCCACAGTCCCTGCCTGTCTCAAAGATATTTTTGTTTCATTGTTGTGTTGGAATCAGGGTGCTCCTACCTGTTTTCAGGTGCCCTCTCTGTGCCAAGTGCTCGGGGACACCCCCACCCAAAGAGACACTGTGCCTGACCAGGGACCCACAGCCAGGCAGGGTGCCCAGCAGCATCAGGGAGTCACACAGGTCAACTTGAGGTTACAAGTGGAGGTCTCGGCTGGGTACAGCTGGGCAGAAAGGGGAGCAGGGCGAGGCGGCCAAGGGGCCGGGGTGGGCTCACCCTCAGGGAGACCCTGGTGGTCTATTTTGGATTTGGATTTAAATGAAGGGCAACAGCAAGTCTTGAAAGGTTTGAAGTGGCAGAATGGGGGCGAGGATGTGGCTAAATTTACATTTTTGAAATTGCATTTTGAAAAGTCCCTCTGGCTGCATGGAGAGGGGATGCAGAGGGACAAGAGGGAAGCAGGAGGCTGTCAGGGCCCCAGGGACAGATGGTGGCGGCAGCTGTGTGCCTTGAGATCGAAGCGCAGACGTTAAAGAGACAGGTTAAAACCGACAGGGCTGATGTGCGGACTGGGTGTGGGGGGTTAGGGAGAAGATCTGAAGGTTTTGCCACTGGTTCACGCTGGGAGAAGGACAGTGCCACAGACAACACTGGAGGAGGGTGGGCAGGCGGAGGACGAGGGGGCAGAGCTCTGGTGCAGTTTCCAAGCTGTGGAGAGAATGTACCAGGGAGCCAGGTGATACGTGATCTAGAGGTCAGAGAGGGCTCCAAGGTGCAGCAATGCGCTGGGGGTCACTGTCAAGGATGGCTTGGCAGAGGGCAGAGTGGAGGAAGGGCCAGGAGGAGAGAGCTGACCCGAGGAAGGACACCGGGGCTCTGCTGTGATCCCATGAAGATCATGAGAGACGGACGTGAAGCTCGATGCCTGGGAGAGGTTGTTCTGTGAGACTGGAAACACCACATTTCAATGGAATGATGGTGATGGGAGTTGGGGAGGCTTAGGGGAGTTGGTGCAGAGGAGAGGACAGAGCTAGCACATCTGAGGAGGGTGCTGAGATGGGCAGCTGGTGGGCGGGCAGTAGCTGGAGGACTAGGAAGCTTGAGGGGGGCGAGGAGGGCTTTTGCTTTCTTTGCTAAGATGAGGGGAGCTTGAGCTTGTGTCTGTGAAGTTCTGGGGGGCAGACTAGAGGCAGCTAGAGGGCAGCTTTGTCCTCAGGGTGGTCTCAAGATGACAGCGCTGGCATCCCCTGGGGGCCTGCTAGAAATGCAGACCTTCAGGTCCACGCTACTGTCCTTAGCTGTGGACCTTGGTGGCCCCCTAAACAACAGTGGGGCCTGCCCACAGCCCACTCCCTCTTGTGGCCAGTGACCCAGTCAGGAAGTTTTGTTAAAACACAGGCAGATAGAAATGGGCACTGACACACACACACACACACGTTCACGCACACACAACCCAGCTCCTTTATGGAAAGACACTAGACATGTCCTTTGCAGAATATTCCCAAGCGGCCAGCACCATGGAGCTTTCCAGACATACTGTCCTGTCATTTTAGGTGTACAATTGGGTGCCCAGGAATCAGAATCAGGAGAAAAATAGAGGCTGGTTGTAAGCACTCACACAGCAGCCAGGTGATGCTGAGAAAAGGCAAAGCAAATGAGAGGCAGGGACAGAAACCAGTGCAGGGTGACCGAGGGGTGTGCTGGAGGCGGTTCCTCCCAGAAAGCAAGCCCCGATTGTGGAGGTCCCTTTCCAATTCCACACATAACCACATTGGTTGGTAGCTTGAAATCAGCCATGGTGGGAGTATTTACACCACAGACATTGGCAAGCGCTGTAAGTCAGGGTTTTCTCCCTTGGGAGAGGGACTGCAAAGCACTTACTAGCACATCACTGGACAGAGGCCACAAGGGAAAAGCTGGCAGCCCTATTTGTACATTGTTTTGATTCTTCTGTAAACTAACTGAGCATTTCTTTGTGCCAGATTCTGCCCAAAGTGCCGGGGAAACACTTTGTTGAATGAATGAATGGCCATTCTGGAACAAGGCTATTTATTTTATCTAGAGGAGAAACCATTTAAAACCTCCAGGAAAAAGAGACTCAGGCGTCATCCCTCAAGCTGGATTCCATGTCCAAACAGTATGATATCATCTCCCCTGTCCTCTGGAGCTTGTCCAGCCTATCACACTCCCATATCTGAGTGTGTGACACACTGAGTGCCCCACTCTGAGGTCTCAGGGCTGCCAAGGGCCTATTACTGCTCCTGGTTGCAGGGTATCATGTCACCTCTCTGTGCCTCAGTGTCCTTTCCTTTAAAATGGGCCACACAGGGGACTGGTGAGAATCAACTCCAGGTGAGGAAGGTGGCTGACAAAGGTAGGGAGTTGTACTGGTATGAGCAGTGTTCCTGTCATCATGTGCATTTTGGAGTCATCAAGACTTTTACTGTAGTCATTCTGCGTTCCTAAGGGAGGGAGGGAGGACCTGGAGCCATTTATATTAACAGAGGATCCTACTGATTCCCTGAGACGTGGAGCTAGAAGAGGGTGGCAGCCATGCAGGCATGTACACATCGCCAGATAAGTCTTTGGGGGCCCCCTCTCCCCATGCATAAACACCCAGATACCCAAAAACACTGAAGGAGATTGCTAATCATGGGGCTCAGGACAACCTCAGCTCCCAAAAGCTACATCTGGGCAGAGACTACAGCTGGAAACGGGGGAGGTAGACCACCCCTGCCCCATTTCAATTTGGTGATGTTTATGGGTTTCAGAATAATTGGGTGGAGTAGTTCGATTTACACAGAAAGTAACTTCATTTCCTGGCTACAAGCACATGCTAAACCCTGGCCCTGATATGACCTCAATCCTCCCCCCAGATAGACCCTTATCCCTGCCCATGAACTGACCCCTAGTCCTTGGTCTCTCACTGACCTCTAATCTTCAGTTTCATCCTGACCCTTGGCCCTGATCTCTGCCCAAGAGGGATGGCCTATCAGTCACTGGGGACCAGGAAGGGTGTGACTGAGTAGGGATTGGAAACTGAAGACTCTCCAGCGTGCCCCTACACTCACAGGAACCCAGGACTTTTTGCCCAATGGAGAGGGTTGGAGGCATTAGAATTGGCATTAACCCCAGAGTCCTGGGGGGCCTGCGGTATTGCTGGATTTCAGTGCTTCACACATACCTGTTCTCTGCCCATGAGGACAAAGACCCAGACTGCCTCCTCTCTCCCAAGGGACAAAATCCTTTCGCTGGGACCCTGCCTCTTCCATCCACTCTAGGTCCTGCCCTCAGTGGGCAGAGAGGCCCCAGATACTTTTTCCAAGCCACAGATCAGGCCACCCAGGGCCCAAGGGACAGATCCAAAACCCCAAGGGCTGCTCCAGCCTGTCTCTGGAGAGCAGCCCCCGGGAAGAGGGGCTCGTGGGTGGCTGTGGAATGGCTGGCACAGGCTGTGCTGGGGCAGGGGTGAGAGAAATGGCCTTCCAGAGCCCCTCCCTGTGTTCAAATTTTCTTTCCATACATCCTGCCCCACCCGGTGGGTGCTCCTCATGGGAGCAGCCAGTTCACAAACAACCTCTGTCCCACAGAGCCCAGGGCCTGGAGCCCCTCCCCACCCTCTGCTCCCAGCCCCCCTTCACCTCCCTTACCTTCTGGGGTTCCAGGGCTGCCTTTGCTCTCAGAGGGAGTCCATGATTTAGAGTTCCCTCCCTCCGCAAGCTTGCTTCACAAACAGGCTCCACTGCCCATGGGGAAGCCCAGATCTCCCCCACCTGGACCCCCCAAGTTGGCCTCACAGAGGGAAAGCAGAGGTCCCTGGTTACACAGCCAGAACTGTGGTACCCCAGTCACCCTCATAGCTTCCTGGAGCACAGGCCCTGGGGTCCCCACTGCCAACAGGAGCTCCGCAACACGCACTCAATCCCAGGTCTCCCAGCCACCCTGTCCTCCACGGACTGGCTCCCTGGAGCGGCCCCCAGCCTTTCATCATGCCCCCACCCCCTGGCACACAGGAGTCTCTCCAACCCCCACGCTCACTAGAGCATGTGTGGGGTCCCGAGTCCCGGATGGGAACCCACAGTCGCTGCCCCAATTGCCTTCCAGAGCCCACAATCCTGCTGGTGAGAGGGGCTCGCTGACCTGTCCCCAACCTGGCCCCCAGGGTCAGGAAGTTTGCGTTGGGGTCTCAGCCCACAGCCCAGGGCGGCAAAGTCTCCACGCCCTTCTCCTCTCGGGGAGCCCTGCAACCGCCTTCCCCGTTCCCCCCTCCAGGACTCACCTCCGCCCTCCCGACAGCTGGACCTCTGTCCAGTCGCTGAGATCCCGGGCCCACGGCCGTGCCCTGCGCGGTGGCCGCAGCCCTCGACGTGCGCCCAGCCCCGCGGCCTCCGGCAGCCGCCCCGCGCCGCCCACCCCGCTCGCCGCCCCCTCCCCCCGGCCGGATGGCCGCGCGCTCCCGGCCCAGATGTGCGAGGCCGGGGCGGGGCCTGGCGGCGCGGGCCTCCGCGGAGGGGCCCGGTCTGGCCCCGCGTCCAGGGCCCCTCCCTGCGCCCCTCCTGCGTCTCGCGGCCAGGCCCCCACCGCCGCGCCTCCCCCGCCCCGCGAGCAGCCCGGGGGTGGGGGCTGGAGGAGGGCGCGGAGGGGAGGTGGAGGGAGGCGAAGAGGCATTCCAGACCGCTCGTCGGCCTCCCGCGGCCCTGCGGCGGCTGGGCTCCCCCGCCCTAACAGGCTCCAGTTGGGGGCTCAACCTGGGCCAGCCCGTCTGCGAGCTCCCCGTCGCTGCGGGAGAGGGTGCCCTTCTAGACCCCTGCAGTGCACACCTCAGACTGCCACGTCCCTAGACCCAGGCCACCCCCGCCCTAGCCCGGTCCCCTAGGGTCAGAGAGAAGAGGCCAAATCAAGGGTGAGGGAAAAGGCAGGCACCCGGGCCCAGGCTGGGGTCTGGCTGAAGTCTGGAGCAGTGAGGGACGGGTTCTTCCATGTGGGGAGGTGGGGGGAGCTGTTCCACTCCCACAAGGGGCTCATTCAACGCATTATACCTTGTCTGGGAGCATCCAGCCCCTCACGACCTTCTCCCAGTCCTACCTTTTGGAGATGCTGGGTGGTGACCTCCTAACCTGGCTTGCAGGACAGAGACTGTGTTCTCTTCGGCCCCTCTAAAGAAGTTGACTTACTGTTCTGGTAGGGCCTGGACAAAGCCTGACAGAAAGCCTTCTCCTCTGCCCACTGTGCCCCCACAGAGCCTTAGGCTGGGCAGGGGTGGACTAGGGACTAAGGGCTGCTGCTCAGCCCAAGTTTCTTTGTACTAGGGGCCGGGCCTGTCTGCTCCCCTAGCCCTGTTCGTTCTCAGATAAGGTCCCCATAGTTCTTTGAGCACCAAGTGTCATCCTCAACCTTTGCAGGGGCTGTTTTCCCCTCCTGGAAACAGCCCCTCCTCCTCTCTGTCCAGCCAAGAGGCTCCCCAGTTTCAGTGTCACTTGCTAGGCTTATCACTTTAACAGTTAGGGTCTAACCCAGAAAGCCCCTGCAATGAGATCATGGATGGGGGCAGGGTGGGGAGGGGATGCAGCCCCAGCCGCTTGGGGAAATTGGTACCTGGCTGGGAAGCCAGCAGCGTGTCCATCAGCCCTGGACTGAGACTCCAGGGGTGTCTGTGTGTGTGTGTGTGTCCTTGTGTGTCTATGACTGTGCATATATGCATGCCTGTATCCATATGTCTTTCTCGGGACGGCTGTGTGTGTGTGTGTATTGTGTGTGTATGTTGTGTGTATGATATTACGTGAGTCCGTGGGCTGTACCTGAATGTGTGGGTAAGGGCTGAAGGCTCTGGCCCCTCCAACACCTGCCTGCCTCTTGCTTTTCTTTTTTTCCTTCCACCCCGGCTTTTCCTCCACCCCCACTCCCAGCTCCACAGATTGGCTCATCTCTGAGGACCTCAGCAGCAGGCTCTGAGTGGGAGTGAAGACTCAAGGGTGGGGGGCCTCCAGTCCTTGGCACCTGCTGCTAGTTCCCCCCCTTTCAGTTCTCCTCAGCCTGACCCCACCCCTGGGCAGCGTCCAGTCTGATTCAAAGAGGGGGGCGGTGACTAATTCCAGTGACTCCTCCGTCCTCATTAGAGGAAGCTTGATTCAGTTGCCATGAGAAGGTTGAGGCCCAGGTAGACACGGAGGGTCCTGAAGACCCCCTGACCTTCATGTCCCCCTGTGCCCTGACGCCTCCCTCCCTCCCTCCACTCCCACAGCCCAGGGCCCACCCACTGACCTCACCGGCTTCCTGCTTCTGCCTGGCGGGGAAGCAGGAGGAAGGGCCAGGCTTTGAGCATGTCCTCTCTGGGGCAGCCTCTCTCCAGGCCAGGCTTCCCTCTCTGGCCTTTGCTCAGATCGTCTCCCATGGATGCCCTGCTCCCAGCCCCACCCTCCATCTCATCTTGCAACTGGAGGAGCCTCTAAAGTGCAAGCCTGGGCCCGCTCCTACACCCTTACCACGACGCCCCTCCTCATGCCCCCCATTGCCCACAGGGCAGATCCGATGGCCCAGGTTTGGACTGCCCTTGGCCGGCCCCCCAAGCTCTCCTTGCAGCCCGGGCTCTGACCCTGCAGTCTGACATGCCCTTCCTGCACAACCTGCTTCTGCAACGTCTTTCTCTCCCTTGGGTGCTCAGGGAGAAGCTGGACCCTTGGACCCTGTTGTGGGTGCTGTGTCTGCTCGGAGAGCCCTGGACCCTGGTCACCACCAGGCGGGCTTTCAGGAAGACTGGGGTTAGAAGGAAGGCTCACAGCTCCCCTTCGGAGACGCCCAATATGACTGAGTATCAGGCAGTTTTAGGGCTGAGGATGACCCTTGTCTTCAGGGGGTGTCTCTGCTCCACCTAAGCCTGCGTGTGTCGGGGTGGGGGGACGTGGAAAGAGGCTTGTTCACCTGCAGACCTTGCTGAGCATTTCATGGTGTGCTGGTGCCTACCAGGTCCCTACCTTGCCACCTTCCCCACCACCAAGCCTTGGTGGGAGGCCTCTCCACCTTCACCCTCAGATGGCAAAGTTGAGCCTTGGAGCAGGGCACTGTCTAGCTCAGGCTGGCCGCCCTCAGCGCCTCTGCTCTTGCTTGCACCACCTGTTACAAGAGGCTGGTGAAGGGAGGATGGAAACTGGGTGCCCAGAAGTGGCCTCCCTGGATGCTTGTCCATCCCTTCCTGGAGACAGGAGGTGGGTGGCTCCTGGGACAGAGGCCCCTAGAATGTTCCTCTTCCAGATTCCTGAGGTTCCAGCTTCCTTCCAGGAACTACTCTGCCTGCCCCGCCCCGCTGAACTTCCTCTCTGTGGACCACTGCCTCAGTCCGCATCATTTTCCTCACCGGGGATAGGCATGTGGGAAGCCAGTCCATGGCCAGGAGTTCAAGACTCAGCCTTTGGTGCCCTGCCCTGCTCTTTCATGGCAGCAGGTGCTTCTCCTTCATTAAAAAGAAGCACCCTGTTGCCACAGGAGCTTTGTTGCCGCTTAGCAGTGGGACCATGATGAGGGGCACAGCAGTCGTGGAGCAGGTTTGCAAGGCAAGACTCTGCTACTTGAGCAGAAGTTCTTGTGCCATTTATTGAAAGCACACAGGCTAATAAAAGCCAATCATGCGACAATGGTATGAGGAATAAAGTCCGGAGCGGGGGATTGGAATGGGGGACAAAGTTTTACGAGGGACAGGGAAGGGGACATCGTGACCATATGTCAAGAGACATTTGCGTCAGCAAAGTATATGATGTTATCAAGGCAGTGTTATCCCGAGACCGCCATGGAGACAGTCACGTCATCAGGTCAACGGCGGCCTAAGCATTCCCAGGCCTGCCTTGGGATACCGGCTCTACTGTAGGCAGTCCAGGAACGCTCTGCTGTGATTTGCAGATAGCAAATAGGTCACAGTTGCCCATGAGTGGCCAGCTAGTAGCCAGCTCATAGGAACCCACAGCACCCCACCTTCCTGCTGAGCCTCCTCACACCCCCAGCCCAAAGGACACCCAAGGCCCCAGAATCAGCCGTATCTGCCAGCGCTGTGAGCTGACACTGCCCCACTTGCAGGCCCTGCTCCAGTATGATGTGATGAGGGTTCCCAGCAGGAATGTGGGAATGCCTCCTTGGAGGAGGTAGCCCTTGGTCTTAGCCCTGACGGATGACAAGGTGGAGAATGAACAGGGCATTCCAGGAGGACACAGTGCAGATGACAGCTCGGAGGCTGGAGTGAGCAGAAGGTGGATGGAATCAACAAACTCAAAGTAGCCCACTGATGGCGGGTAGGGCTGTTTGTCCTTAGGGCTTCCAAGGACAGATCTACCCTGTGTGCTGCCCCAGCTGGCATCTTTGCGCATCCTTGGAACTCCTCTGCCTGCTTGTTCCACCTGGGTATCCTCTGTTTGGGGTCTCTGGTCTCTATCCAGACCACCAGGAGTTCCGTTTCATTGCTTAATTCCCTCTCGGCTCACCCCTTCAATTAGCTTGGGAGATGCCTTTCCTTGCTAGTCCTTGCCCCCCAGAACTGCCCCTCTCCTGGGATGTGGAGCCTCAGGAAAGAACCAAGATCCTAAGGGAAACAGAAATGGTGGGAGCAGCCATGTGAAGCTGAAGGAGTTTGTGGAGCTGAGATGTAGACAATTTTGGCTGCCCCCCACCCCCAGTATCTATTCTCTTTATCTTAATACTAGATTCCTCTCTTTTTAGCCATGTGCATGGTCATTCAGCATAAAGACTAGATTTCTCAGCCTTCCTTGCTGCTGGGTGTGGCTATGCAACGAAGGACGGTCTAATGGTATGTGAGGAAGTGTTATATGGCACCTGCTAGCTTTTAGACACTGCTGGTGGGTGATGACTATTCCTTGTTCCTCATTTTGCCTTTTTTCACCTGTCACCTGGAAAGTTGATGAAATGGCTGGAACTCTAATCCCCATTTTGGGCCATAAGGTTGAGGGACACATTCCAGTGACAGCAGAAGAGTGACCTGCCAGGAGATCGGCACCTGAACAGTATCCTGTGCCAGCCAGGGGTTGTGCACTTCCAGACTTTTCAATGCAAAAGAAAGAAACTATTATAGAGGAGACAGTGCTTTCAGTTTCTGCTACTCAAAACAGAATGTAATCCTAGCTGATTTGACCCCAAGGAGAAATGTTGACTAGGCAGTTGGTATATGGATTTGGAGCTTGGAGCAGAATTTGGGGTTGCGGGTAGAAGCTTGGCAGTCATCCTCGGGGAGATGGTAATTGAAGCCACAAGAGCAGATGAGATCACCAGGAAGAGTGTGAGAGGGATGGGCAGCAGCAGCCCACCCCGCCCGCTGATGGATCCTGGCTTTACTGCTCAGTTTCGCCTACACCTTTCCAATATGCATGAGGGTTTCCTCCCC